TTATTCGTAACGAGAAGTAGCGAAGGCGTGAGAACCACGCCCGATCTTTACCGAGGTCGCCAGATGCAGATAATATCTACAAGATATACCTTAAGCTGTATCACTTTATTGTTTGTAGTTGGCACGTACCATTGTTACCTTATTCACATCGCTATAGGGCTATGGATTTCGAAATTACAATTGTATGTAATATAATGAGATTGCTACAACACAGATTCAATCATTTAGGGTCGTAGACAAACATATCTTATCTATAATACTTCGTTTCTGTATTGCCAGATACTTGTTTAACAAGTAAATAGCAAAATATTATACCCTCTGTCCTATTCGTGTTTCAGCTGTAAAGCAGTTGTGTTTACATGGCTGTATTTCGGTTTGAAGGGTGGGATATGGCGTGAATTTACTGGGTACAGAGGAATAACACCTGAGTCCTCAGGAATGGCAACGCATGGGGGGTATCATGGGTGAAACAGTATACTCTGTTATATCCATGGTACAGCTCATGTTTATAGACGACGGTTATCACTTTCCATCAGATCCGTCAGCTTGTTTGCTATTCTATGTTATATAAAAAAATAACACACAATTTTACTCTTATTGTTAGTATCGTATAAATTTACAAGTAAAGTTTGGAATATTCAGTATTAATGCCTAATTTGTCATAATCAAGCAACATAATTGATAATGATAAATCTATTGATGACTATACCCTTTTGAACGAATGTTGACTTCCAATAGTTTTGCTCACTATCAGGTCAAATACGTGATAACATTTTGTTATAAATGTCAGTAATGTACTCATATATTTATAGTATTTAAAGTAATGTTGTACTTGTTACTCCAGTGATATTTCCATTGGAGAAAAATCTTGAGATCTTGGATTTTATTCTTCTAAGTTAAAATTTTTTTGCATTAGTTTTGTGCATTAGTAAGTACACGTTTTTGTTACGTAACATATATGGTTTTAGTAATTATAGTAATTATTTTGTCAAGTCAATGCAATCTTTGATACGAAGGGTCAGTGGCAACATTATTATTAGTTCTATGAGTATAATTTGACTAATTTTCGGTTCGATTTCGCAAAATTTCGTCACTTATAATATCGAAACTACAATTGAAAAGACTTTTGGCTACTTTATGCTTTATCCGAGCAGTAAGTACTAGTATATAGTTTATGTTATATATGTGTAAGTATATTTGTTATTTATATATATTTATTTGTTTATATATGTAAATTTTAGTATGTATGTATACCAAATATTACTAGTACGGCATTCGTGTATTCTGACACTTCCCTAAGGTTGACTGAGAGAGAATGTTTTTAGCATTAAGTCAGTCTTGTACACATACATTTACTAATAAATAAATAAATAAATAGTAACATGCTGCTTGTCAGAGATAAGCCTGATTATTTGCTGTAACAATCAGACTGTTTTGGATTACAATTATTTAGGTAATAAACCATATTTATATGCTGCATAGCAGAACACAGTTGTGTCATGTTGATTTTTCTTACCTAGCCAATAAGAATAATCTTATGACTAGGTGTAATAAAAGATAACTAAGTAATTGATATTTTTTGTACGTCCGACTATGCTCTTTATTTCTTCGTATGGTATTGCTGGTTTTCAGACTACTAGATCTACCCGTTTTATTCTTCTTATTTAAGTTTCCTCTTGTCGGAACAATTCATGCATTCTCTGCCAGACAGCTCTATCCCAGGCTATATCTTTGACCTCCCTATACGACATGACACCTAGAGTTTCCTTTATCTGTCCCATGTAGTTATTCCTCGATCTTCCCCTTCCTTTTTTACCCTCTATTTTTCTTTCTAATATCCTCTTTAAAAAATCGTTTTATGATATCTTTTATTTTTTTTCATTAACAATGGAAAATCACCGAAAAACAAATTTGTTTCCTTCTGATACTTACTCGTACTCTATACCTATAGGTTTCAATGTAGTACCAAATTCATGTAGCAATTCATTAATATGCGTATAAAGCAATACTGTTTGCTAATAATTGTTTGCTATTTCTTATAAGTAGTACATAGAAAATGATAGTTCACCACTGCCGGTGTGAGATAAAGGAAGCCATTACTGGTTTCATTACAGTGGCACATCTGTATTGCACAAGCGAAATGTTCTCACGAGCTAGTGAGGTGTACTTGGCTTGTACGAGTAATGTGGCGCCTTGCAAGATATACTGAGCCATTTCCATTTTAAACATATTTATGCATTCAAAGGCAGCGTAAACTGCTGGTAACGTGGGCCATCGTTCACGGCCTCTGTTTTGAAGTACCTCTCGTAGCGTAGATTATATTTTTTTTTATTTAGAATTTAAAATCTTTTTATTTTTTTTAATCAATTTGCTCGATAGAAGGGAGCGTTTCAAAATTTAATTTCAAATTAAAGAAAACTATTGGGAATTGTATTCACTAGATGCATGGCCACATATAACAAATTCTTAATACGAACCACCTTAAAATTTTCATCAGTAAATAATTACTCAAATAACAAAATGTTGCTGATATAATACCACTGGACAAATTACACAGCGTCATCTATATTAATATAAATGTTTGTATTGTACGGGGATCGAACCCCCAACGGCGGGAAAGTGAGGCAGTATGTTAAACCGTTACACCATCAAAGTCATCAATGTGAGTGGAATATATTTGAGTGACCGTTAAAAAAAATGTTAAAATTAAAAATTATTAATATAAAGATAAGATCGATTAATGATTCTAGATCCGGTATGATGTAGTGAATCAATTATTATTATATTCTTAAGGGGAAGTCTAAATAATCTGTCAATTTATTTTTTCTCCTTGAAGTTAACAGTGGATTTTCATTCTTCTATCCCATATATAGTTTCCATGCATAAAATCAATGCATAAATAAATGAACACACGCTTTAAATTTAGGGTAATTACGACCTATTAATATTAAAATGTAAAAGTTTATAAAGATATAAACGAAACGCACGTGAACCGCTGAATGGATTTGAATTAAATTTGATACACGTATAAATAATAATACAAACTTAACATATAGGAACTTTATATATCGATACAAGCCGTGCAGAGTACGCGGATAAAGCCGTAAAAAAACGACTACTATAGATAATTAAATACGAACTAAACATTATCTGCACTTCACATTTCTACTGTCATATATATTTCTAATTGCATATATAGTACTTTCATTATATTCTTTTTTCAAAAACACTCAAGCGCATCATCTCTGTCCTCTCTTGATATTAGTCGTCTTTAATATTTTTATATTTTAATTTTATTCATATAAAATATCCCTATAGATTTTTAACGATTTCTGACCTTGGCAGTCTAGCATTAGCGACTAGTCACTCACAAAATCTTACAATCATCCAACGACCAGAGGTTATAATAAATGTTCAAGATAATGATCATAGTTTTTACATTCGTTTCGCAAGAATGAAACAAAAATTATCTAACAATAAGCAAATTACAGTCGTGTTACATTTTAATATGCTTGTTGCAGATTTTTTTATAGTGTAATCAGTAATCAGCCCAGCGTCTATTACTTTATGAGATGAGTCACGTAATTGCTATTATTGTACCAGCCTATTATTACAATGCGTTCGATTTAAATAGAAAAAAAAAAACAATAGGTGTCGAAATGGTTGACGGGTTATATAACGTGGATTACTAATAAATGCACCTAATATTTATAAGTTAGTTATCTTTAACTATTATGAGATCTCTAGATTCAGCTATCATTTGTAGACTCGGCTGTATCCCGCAGCTTCGCTCGCGTGAATCAGTACATAAATCCTATGTGTTAAATTAGGATATCTAGCATTGCGTTTAAATGGCCCAGGAGGGTTAAAATCGTGTCTATTTTTTAATTGTTCCCCACTTAACTATCAAATTGCCCCCTGTAAAGCGTGGGCCCATGTTGGAAAATATTGACAAGCTATATTATGGCCTGTCTGTGTACTAAATGTTCTTATTACAATACCTGTAGTAATTTTTGTATGATATAGTAATAAATATCTATCCATTTATCCGTCGTTATAAACCTTTGCATTTATTATTTTAATAGGAAATAAGAATTGTTGAGTTATTCCATATTATAAATTCATATTTACTACATTTTATAAGCAATAGATATGTGAATTATTTATATTCTTTTAATCGTTAAGTAGTATAATGCAAATACAGTATAAGCGTTCATTCATACATTTATTTGAGTGATACCTACACTTGTAAAAATAATTCCATCACGTTTACATCTATTTAGGCTTCGCCATATCTTTTAATAATCGCACAAACCTTGACAGAGAGCGCATTCTGCATTTTGATGTGCGATATAAAAATTGTTCGTGGGAACCATCTTAGTATCTGTACTGCCGTATTTTATGGCAAAAAGATTTACGGTGACATTTTATAAAAGTTACGCATTTTACATATATTATTTTTATATATAATATATGGTTCTATAGATTTAGTATGTTATTGTACTCGTATGTCTTTTTTTAATTATATAACTACAAAATACACAATAGAGTGGGTGATTTTAATGTTGGATTAAATATAAAGAAAAATTGTGATTCCATAATTTTTGTTTCTTTTTAATACATAATAAATGAATGTCGAATATTAATCTCTTTGATGTAAATCTGTTTGAGCTTTATGCAGAAATTTAAATTTTACTTCGTTTACAAAATTTTTATAAGATTTGCGATCCTATCAATGATAATGTCGGGTAACAATAGAAAAAATTTAAGAATTCAGAACTCTTACGTGAATTTTATTTAATATTATTATTATTTGCTCTTTAAAATATTTGGCTATGAAATTAGTGACAGAAATTCTAATTCTAAATCTAATTATAATAATGAATTATAAAATACAAAAGTTATAAAAATCTGAGAGCACAATCTCATCTTTTAATAAAAATAGACACCAAAACTTTGATTTCGAAAATGTTTTTACATATAAATATTTACTTTTCCAGGTGCACAGCAAGGGACTAAAATTCGGGATCTACGAAGATTACGGCAACTTCACCTGTGCAGGCTATCCAGGCGTGGTGGGACATCTTGCTGGTGGTAAGAATTTTCAAAACGTTACCTTTGTAGTGTATTACATTTAAAATTACAAGTTAGATCGTAAATCATAAGAAGTTTACCATTTTTTTTTATTTATTTATTTATACCTCCACTATTTTTACAGGTAAATAATCCTAATGCGTAATCATAATGTGTAACTATCTAAATAAATACATATAATAAATAATAATAATAATGTAATGTAATAAATAAATAAATAAATAAATAAATAAATAAATATAATAATAAAACAATATATATGTATAACCAGAGGAAGACTTTGTACAAAAGTCGATTGCTTGGGTACCTCTGTCCCATTCGTGTTTCAACCGTGAAGCATTTGTGTTTGCATGGCTGTGTTTCGGTTTGAAGGGCGGGATATGGCGTGAATTTACTGAGTACAGAGGAATAACACCTGAGTCCTCAGGAATGGCAACGCATGGTGGGTATCATGGGCGAAAGAATATACTCTGTTATGTCCATGGTACTGCCCATATCTATAGGCGACGGTTACCACTTTACATCAGGTGGGCCGTCAGCTTGTTTGCCATTCTAAGTTGTATAAAAAAATACATAAACACACATACACATTTATATATAAACTGTATTATATTTATATATATAACATATAATTAATATGTTAATTTACACAATCGATTATGCTAACACAATATAGTCAAGTCATTAATATTTACTTAACATCTATTGATCATCTTAGTAGTTAATTATACTCTACTTATAAAAGATTAGCTCATATGACTTTTACAACGCGTTACCCAACATGGTAATTATTATTTCGAATTCTGACTTAATGAGTGTTATGTTCCTGTTTTTATGCGGTATAACAAGTCTACGAATAATAAATGTATTATTAATTGTTATATTTGTAAATTATTGTAGTATTACTTTTTTGTGGTAACTATGATCCTTACAATTTTGTCATGCTTGTATTTATATTAACTGCGCCTTCATGCTAACTTTAAAATTTGAATTTAGTCTGCTGATAATAATAAAAATAAAAAAAATCGTCTAATTGGTTGAATGTTTCGATTTGTTATTTATTTCATTATTTATAGAGTATTTCTGGGACAATTTAAAAAAAATTGTTTACATGTTTTTTAAGTTTTATTAAAACAGAGTTTAAAATAGTTTTATTAATTTTTTACCAATATAATAATAGCTTATCATCATTTTTACTCTTATTCTCTTGTATTGTACAAATTTGTAAAAAATATATATAATTTTTCTATATACTATACATGTCTTGTTACATTCCGTGACCTATGACTGGCTACCACCACTAGAAGTTACGTAAATTGGCGTGTTGCAAAAATATCTATCCACCTTCCTGGCCGAGTGCATTGAGTCAGTGGAGTACAAAATACGTACATGCAACTTCCTTTAGAACATAATATACCAATATATACAAATGCACTCAAATTGCAGCCTACCACAAATTAGTTACGGTATACTTCAACACGCGAGGTGTAAGAACGTTCATTATTTTTACAATTATCTGTCTATTTTCTCTATTAGCGAATTAAAATGTTAATTATCCAATAATATTCTTATAAAACTGTCACTGAAAATTTTAATATTAATATCAAAATTGTATTTGAAGAATTCCGAAGAATATAAAGTAGGTACAAAATAGATAGTGGTAGATTTATATATGCAATGTAATCTATTAACTTTTTAGTTCGCTAACAGTATACTTTTCCAATTATCAATGAGAAGCATTACAATGTGGTCAATTGTTTTTGAAAATGGTCAGATAATCATGATGTTGCCGTATTTCTTTACAAACATACATACACATATACATACGCGTGACTTCCCTGGTATTACTGGCGTTCATAGGCTATGGTGACCCCGTTTAGCATCGGACGGGCCGTATACTTGATTGCTACTATAGTAGTATAAAAATTAAATAAAATTAACAATTATAAAATAATTATTTTTAAATACTAGTACTACTATTTTTATTTTTTTATTGTTTTAAAAAACATGTACAATTGGCAAACTAAATGCTTTATAGAATTCTTTACCATTAGGTAAAAAACAGGAAGTAATTGATAGGCAATAGTGGGAAAGAATTGATGTTTTCTAGATTCTGCAGGGTGATTTGTTTATGTTTAAATTTATATAAATATATAGAAAAGATTTTTTGATTTCTATTGATATTCTATGGTTCTTTAAAACCATTTTTCATTTTACGTACAGCATCCCCACGTGTTTTAATCTTTTTCAGAACGTTACATCGTGGGTATTACTGTAATTAACAAAAGATGTTATTAAGTAATAATACTGTTGGAACAGAGTATTCAGTAATACCTAATCTATGTTTATTATTACTAGTTTGAGAGTGGTGCCCTCTAGTGATTTTATACATTCACCAGCTTATATGAAGTAATTCCAAATTAAATTTCTTACAAATGTGTTATAGTGATGATTCCATGTAATTGCATTTATTTTATAGAAAATAAATATAAAAGTAAGCATTTATAGTGAAGTATATGTATTCAGTTCAATAGTCAAGTAATCCTTCATAAATCAGTCAACTGCAATGTTAATCACTGTTAATCGGATTCACTTCCTTATTTCGTCTAGTCGCTATGTTTATGTAGTACTTCTTGTTTCACACTTATATCCGTACTTATACTTTTTAACATACATTAATATTTAGACACTGACAACTATTTTGTCGCTTAATTACTCTGTAAAGTTGGAAGCAATTAGGAAGTCATTTTCTTTTAAATAGCAACCTTCAAAAATATATTATTTCTATTTATTTTTATTATTACCCATTTATAACAATTCTGTTAGCTATTGTATTTTATTGATAATTTTATATAATGGTACCTATACGAATATGTTCCGGTATTTGCCAATGTAAATTTATATAATATAATAATTAAAATAAAAAATTGTAAAAAATCATAATAAAGTGACATGAAAATTCACTAAACAAACTTAATGAATCAACTAGGCTCATAAACTAAGTAAAAATACAATCTTCTTGATTTCTAACAATTTACACATTCAACACAATCAGATACATTTTACGTAGGTAATTACATGTACGTATTATAATTATCTACTAATCTTTTAATTTTTATTATAATTAGGCTCTTGGCAATTAATGATTACATCTTTGCTCAAAAATGTATTTTGTTTAGGTTAATTTAAATTCGTTTACAAATAGAGATATTTAAATTAAGTTGTTTATATTTTTACAGATAAAATTATTTATTGATTTTTATTTATTTATTTAATTCTTTATTGTACACACGAGTTATTTATGAAAAAATGACTGAGGTAATCAAATGCACAAAGGCGAGCGCGAGCTTAACTCTAATAGAGTTCTCTTGACTCTTCCAGAAAACCCAAAGTAGAAAGGACCATCAATGTCAGCGGATAAAGCGGTGTATAATATTGTGACAATTTTTAATTTGTTTATTTATTTGTATTTATTTATTAACTACATAATACTTAGATACTGGATATAACAATATATATAACATATATAAGTACTCTTAATTTTAAACCACAACTTAGTTCATTTATATTTTTTTAATGGGTGATAATGGAATGGTAATCCCGCCCGCGCTATCGGTATACGCTGGCGGGGCACTAGTGACTTACTTACTTGCCTTCATCGTCACCATAAGTGACGATGAAGGCAAGTAAGTTAGCCCATCTTGACGAATTCTACTAGAATTCCAGGTTTCAAAAAGAGAAATCCAGAAAAGGTTTTCAGGGGAAACCGCGTGGAGGTCGACCTGATAGGGTGTGTTGTTATCAATGGGTTAGTTAGACCCCTTTACTAACAATCCCTTTCCCCCATGTTCATGTATATTAGGATTACATATCCTATCTAATATAAATAATCTATTTGTATGTAATCTGTGTATTGCTGATAAAGATGTAAATGAAATTTGTTACAAACTTACACATATTGTTACTAAATATGAATCTTCTTCATATAGTTGTTACCAGTACTAAGCGTCGTGATATTTCCGACCCAACTTTTATATATTCTTTTAAGTGCCAGTGCTCTTTATCATAAAGAACTACTCAATGAATATCTAAGGACATAACCCAAAATACTCAGATCCAAGTCTGTGGTGTCTGTAAATAAATATTGTACATATGCAACTCATTGCCACTTGTCAACATCATTACTTTATTTTTCATCAAGTAGGTTAATTAAATTGTACATAGATATTTCACTTCTTTCTTTCGGACTGGTCGTACAGCGACCGTTCTATGTCAGCGACGTTTACTACTTACATTCATTTTTGTTGTCATTCTCTCCATCTCGATCGCTCTTCTCTTATACTTCTAATTTCTGTTTTAATATATTATTTTCTACATATTAATTTGTTTATACCTTCTATATATAATATATGTGAATAGACAGAGTTAGTTGTCATACTTATTTCCTCCGAAAAAATACATATCAATTCAGAAAATCCTGTTTCTTAAGTTGGTTTGACAGGAAATGAAGCCCAAACCTCATTTACGTAAAGCAACGTATCAAGTGCTTAATGCGTATCACTGCGCCTATCTATCTTATATAATATGTATATATTAGATTTCACAGTAAGCCGTTAAGTCAATAAGACACAAACAAACAAACATTCACAATCATATTGGTAAGGATGATGTTTTCTCTTTTCCACAGATGCCGCAACATTCGCATCATGGGGCGTGGACTACGTGAAGTTGGATGGATGCTATGCTCTCCCCGCAGATATGGACCAAGGGTACCCAGACTTCGGGCGTCACCTAAACAGCACCGGGAGACAGATGGTGTATTCATGCAGTTGGCCGGTGTACCAGATATACGCAGGCATACAAGTAAGGAGACGGGAAAAGGAACGTAGAATTTTATTTTCCATGGCTTTTATTTTTCAAAATTAGAATGTTTTATTCCAAGATAATTATGATTTATTATTTTTATATTCTGTCATAAAAAAAAACCACGAGATTTAGCTAAAATTATTATATATAATTAAAATATTAGTAAATTGTAACTGAATTACAGTACTCACTAACTTACCTGATGATATAAATAATGATGGCCTTGTTAATGGTTGCAGGTTCGATCCTCGCACATAACACAGCACTTCTAATCATTAATACAGCTACACACCTATACTCGTATATTATGTTTACCTTAAATTAATAACCTATTAACCACTGTAGACCTCAGATCGTACTCCACGCTGTCGCCACCTCTTCACCACGATGAGCGAACTAGCCTTACTTCATTCTTATCATTTCATCTTATACTAGTGTCCCGTTAAAGTATAGCGTTAGTATGGGCGGGTGCACCATTCCATCTTCATCCATCAAAAAAAATCATCCGTGCAAACTACGGAGATTCTATACCGGGTACGGGTATTCTCATAAAAAGAGGATTAATTCTGATCTGGCTGCTAGTAAAATATTATTTCAATTTCTCCTTTCTCAGACACTAGTTTACTGTGCTTTGTTCTCCTAATTACCTCATATGATATTCTGGATATGAAGAGACGTTGTGACACGTTGTAGTCTTACTCCATCACAACGGGGGTAGGAGGGATTGTTAATAATTAGATCTAATGACCCCATTACTAGTAATGTACTCTCTATCAAGATCTCCATGTGGTCTCCTCAAGACTCTATTGTGATTGAAAACTTTATTGTTCTTCTCAAAGTATTATACAGATTACATATGTTAACAATATGTACTCAAAAAATACTTAATTCTTAATGATTTGTCACCATAGGCCAACTGACCTGCTTATATCCTTACCTATCATCCCGCATTGATGCCTCGCTAAGGTACATCGATAGAACAAGCGAGGTCACCATTCCATTGTCATCCATTACTCCGTCACAACACAGATAATTTAAATTTATTAAATCATAATAATAGGAGTTATGTGACCAAAAATTATAAAATTTCAAAATTAGTCACTCGATAATATTATAATACCACATTTTCAATGTGTTCCAGCCGAATTTCTCGTCCATAATCGAGCACTGCAACCTGTGGCGTAACTTTGATGACATCCAGGACTCGTGGGCCTCCGTCGAGTCTATAATAGACTATTACGGAAATCACCAGGACGTCATCGTGCCGAACGCTGGACCAGGACATTGGAATGATCCCGATATGGTATATATATTTTTTTTTTTTTACAACACAGGGGGCAAACGAGCATGCGGCTCACCTGATGGTAAGTGACTACCGCCGCCCATGATCACCCACAACACCAGCGGCATTGCAGGTGTGCTGCCGGCCTTTTAAAAAGGAATATACTCTTTTCTTGAAGGTTATGTTGTCGTATCGGTTCGGAAATACTGCTGCTGGAAGTTGATTCCAAAGAATGGTTGTGCGTGGAAGAAAGTGCCTTGAAAAACGCACGGTGGAAGACCGCCACTCGTCCAGATGATTGGGATGAAACTTTAGTTATATATAGTTATATATATATTGTTTTCAAGACTACTTAATATATAATTTATCCCATTAAGATAAGCATTTGTCTAAAGTTTCCACTTGTCCCTTATAAAGCATTTTTTTCTAGTAGGTACATTCTACTTCGAAAATTATGACACACGACCACCCTGCTAAAATAACTATTAAAAATATCGCCAATGTCACTCGGAATTGCGTAAAAATTCTAATAATGCGCCGTAAGTTATGGTAGAATAAATAAATTCTAATACACGGATTCTAAAACGATTTTATACCTTTTTTGGGCAATTGGGGAATTCTGGCAATTTATAAGTTTTACGTGGATTTATTACATTATTTCTTGACTGCGAAAAAGAGGAGCTTCATATTTTTTTTATAATTTTCTTTCTTTTGTTGCACGATACTTCGTCAATTTTATAATCGTCGATGTTTATAATTTTTTTATCACGATTTAATTACACAATTTTTTTCTTCTTCCAGTTAATAATTGGAAACTTTGGATTGTCGTACGAACAAAGTAAAACCCAGTTCGCTATTTGGGCAATACTAGCTGCACCGCTGCTAATGAGCGTGGACTTGAGAACTATCAGGCCGGAGTACAAGGCTATCCTACAGAACAGGAAGATTATTGAGGTGGACCAAGATCCTCTTGGAATCCAGGGCAGGAGGATATACAAGGTAAAATTATTATGTATTTTACAAGTCAATATTATAATACAATGTTAATATAATTATTAATTACTATAGTCTCTTAATTATGCTACTATACTCGCTTAATTTACCATTACCGAAAAATTTATCAGAATCAAAATATAGGCCAACCCATTAATATTTAATATCCCGTTATTGGGAACGGCATCTTTCCATGAAGGAAGCTACTATTGTAAAGAAGGATATTATTGACTTTCTACTATGACTCAATGCTGGTCTGACAATTTATAACATAGTGTTTTTTTATGGGTGATAATGGAATGGTAATCCCACCCGCAATATCGGTATACACCGGCGGGGCACCAGTGAAGAATGATAGGTGAGAATAAAGCAGGTCAGTTAGCCCATTATGACGAATTCAACGATTTCAAGAAGTGTTCACGATGGTTTCCACGGGGAACCACGTGGAGGTCGACCTAATAGCAATTGCAATTGCTAGCAATGGGGCTGTCAAACTCCATTGCTAACAATCCCTTTCTCCCCTATAATATAGTGTTTAATTATGACTTTTACTTCACTTGCAGTAGCACACAGTGATTTATTTTGCTCGTCTCCTTATCTTGATTTCGCGTATGGGGTCAGAACAATAATAGCAATTTGACTTACTTATCCCTAGTCTAAAAAGACAAAAAAAACAAAAGAAAAGACTTCTCATGTTGAAGATAAAAATAATTTATGAGACATTATATTTTTACTCCATTAATAAATGAGAGTTTATACTCGTATGTATTATGATACAAAATAGTCTGTTTGTTTAAACGCACTAATCTCTGGAACTACCAATCAGGTTGATTTTCTTTTTGCATTTAATAGCTCTAATATTTCTTGAGAAATATATCTTAACATCACGACTACAGGTAAACCTGCAGAATACAGCTGGTATAAGATTATCCTGTTTGTTTTCAGCACCGCGGTATCGAGATCTGGTCTCGTCCAATTCTTCCAATCCAGGGCCAGTACTACTCGTACGCTGTCGCTTTCGTGAACAGACGGACGGATGGAACGCCCTCAGACGTCGCGGTTACATTGCGGGAACTGGGTCTAAATAACCCAGCTGGATATAGAGTGGAGGTTTGTATTTAAGCCCATTGTTCATGTACCTTATACCATAAAGGCTTTTCCGTTTTCTTGCCATGCCATATTTCCCCGTTGAAAACATGGAATCCATCTATGAGACTCCTGTATCAGTGGAGATGAACTTTTAAAAAAAACATGCCCAAAAAAGACAAAAATTGAAGCTTCCATACTAACTGGATAGCTGAAGGCGCCATCCCAGTATGGGAGATTTGAATTTTGTGTAATTTGTCGTCTCTCTTTAGATAAGTCTCTCAGGTAGATAAAGTGGAATATTTAAATTATGGCAGTGATGTTTACGGAGGTATATTAGCATAGCCCTCTGGAATAGCAACTCATAAATGGAATCATAATAGTAACTATGTTCTAACGATGCTGACAAAAAATGATGGCAGTCTATAGATGGCAGATAGACAGTCTATGGGCCGTTCATGTCTATAGGTGGTTTATTTAATGTGTAATTGAATGGTAACTCTACCTGCGCTATCGGTATACACTGACGGGGCACCAGTGAAAGATGATAGACGAGGGGATGAAACAGGTCAGTTGGCCCATAGTAACGAATTCATAAAGAATTAATCAACATGGTTTCTAGAGAAAACCCCTTGGAGGTCGAGCTAATAGAATATATTGCTTACAATTGGGCTGTTAGATTCCCAATATTAACAATCCCTTCCCTCCCTATAGGTGACGATTATCACACACCATCAAGTGGGCCATGAGTTTAACATTCTAAGCTATAAAAAATGTTTTCAACTAATTATTTATTTGACAGGACTTGTACGAGGATGTCGACTACGGCGTGCTCTCTCCCCAGACCAAGATCAAAGTGAAAGTGAACCCCTCAGGTAGAAAGTGTTGCTCTAATTTTGTATGCGAAGTTCTAGCTCACTAACATCACAGTTTTGTCGGTAATGTATCATACACATTAAGATATTTATGAGGTCATTTCATTAAGCGTCTTTTTAAGGTCTGGTCTATGCTTAGTAATATTAATAACCAGAAGAAAAGAATACAAAAGTCACAAAGCATGGCTGCCTATGTTTTATTCGTGTTTTTGCTGTTAAATAGATTTGCTTGCATGGCTGTATTTTATTTTTAAGAGTGATATCAACATCATCATCATCATATCAGCTTTTAATGTCCACTGCTAAACATAAGCCTCCCTCTTGAGGGTTTTGCGAGTAGTTGCCACATTTGGCAGGCGGATTGGCAACCGCAGTTAGGCTTAGGGACGCTGCTGCCCATCCATCGCCCTCTCTTAATCGACTCTTACGACATCCACGGGAAAGAAGGGGTGGCCTGTCCTATGCCAGGACCACACGGATTAAGAACGGCTAAGAGTGATATATGGTAGTGAAATTATAGGGTACGCTGGTATGATACATTAATTCTCAGGAATGCATATAGGATATATATATTCGGTGCATATAAGATATCGTAGACGAAAACTTGATTTCATAATCTTAACCGTCTCAATACCAAAACGATGATGATATTATACTATTCGAAGAAGAGAAGTCACTGATGAGTTACAAAAGTGACCGAAACAAATAGAGAATTTACCACATCTTGGAGTTAATAATATTGTTTTTCATCAATTGTCTATAGTTACCACTTTTCATTAAGTGGCCCATCAGGATAAAAAAAAACTCATCAAAAAGAAAGTACTATATCTATATATTTACTGTATTTTTTATGGAACATATTTTACTTATATATTATATTACTTATACATATTACACATTTCACAATTGTTCATAATTAGTGATAATATTTTTACAATTGAAAGAAAATTGAGAGAGAATTTACTCCTGTATTAATTCCGTACCAATTTCACTAAAATTCTGTCAGATTATATTTTGGAAAAATATTCCTAATTTACATGTGCACGTAGTTTCAATTTTGTTTATGTTAAACAGGTGTGGTGATACTGCGTGCGGATGCACAGCCTTCCTACGCGTACAACTCTATACCAACGCGGACACCGTATGCCCCACTTAATGATGTGTTTAGATTGAGCAAAAAATAGTGATAGCCCTAATATTTGCCCTCGGAATTTCCATCAACATAAAGGTCAGCGTAGACGATGGACATTTTGTTTACAAACAAAGTATCGCGTTGTGTAAGTCGTGTTCATGTGTGTTGCATAATGCAATGTTTTAGGGGCTTTATTATAACCAAACTATAATGCCTCTTGTCGGAAATTTTGTTCGCAAACAAAATGTCGTTTGTCTGTACGCGTTATAAATAACGACTATCATCGGGGCAGTGAAATAAAAAAAGTCAATTTTTAATAGAATCTACAAGTACAATAAATCAGTTTAAATCCTCTACGACTCTATTCAATTCATACTCTTTGTTATTGGTGTAAAATATAGTTACCAAGCGATATATTTCCCAGTCTTGCCCTTAGGTTACAATTTATTTATGTTGCATTCTCTCTAGTGTGATCAAGAAATGTTTAAGAAAATGTGTGGAGATTTGTTTTTTGCCATTACGTTGTACCTAGGATAAGGATGTACATTTTAGATGCCTATAAATGTAAGTTTTGTAGAAAACATTAAATAATTAACACTTTCAATGGATTTTATTTATTTTAAATATTCAAAACAACATCTAAATACAAAAGGTACGTATTATGCTACAATCTTACGTATATATCATTACAATTATACAAGTACGTAGAGATTTTTTTTACCACACAGGGTGCAAACGGGCATGCAGCTCACCTGATGGTAAGCAACTACCGCCGCCCATAATCACCCGCAACACCAAAAGCATTGCAGGTATGCTGCCGGCCTTTTAACTCTTTTCTTAAAGGTTATGATGTCATATCGGTTCAGAAATACTGCTGCTGGAAGTTGATTCCAAAGAGTGGTTGTGCGTGGAAGAAAGTGCCCTTGAAAAACGGTGGTAAACTGCCACACATCCATATGGTTGGGATTGTACGATGTTGTTTAAAATTGTTCATTAATGAAGCAATATATTAACATGAAATTTTGATACAGTACGTTAAATACAGTTTCAGAGTTGACAACGTGCACGTGACACTAGTAATATATTATTATATTCATAAACAAAATACAGTAACTGTTTATTACTAGATGAGCTGCATGCTTGTTTACCATCTTTCAGGATCGAAAAATATTAAGAAGAAAAATAACAAGTACGTATTATAAATAAGAAATATATACCGCTATAAACCATAGCCATATTTTGAAATTTAATAGGTATTTTTAAATGTTACGAGAATGTTTGACATATGAAAATATCTGTTATCAAAGCATTCACATCAAATTGCGGGATAAGCAGAAAGGATAGACATAAGTAACGTAACGTTTCACCAGAGGGAGACTTTGTACAAAAGTCGTTTGCTTGAGTACCTTTGTCCCATTCGTGTTTCAACCGTGAAACAATTGTGTTTGCATGGCTGTGTTTCAGTTTGAAGGGTGGGATATGGCATGAATTTACAGGATACAGAAAAATAACACGTGAGTCCTCAGGAATGGCAACGCATGGGGGTATCATGGGCGAAACAGTATACTCTGTTATGTCCATGGTACTGCTCATGTCTATAGGCAACTTAACAACAAATAAATTTAATTACATGTAACAATATTCAATTAAATATAAGTAATATATTGATGAAATATGACAGGTTACACATGAATATTTTTGAAAATCAATTCGCTATGTAGACGAGCGTCGCGATCTCGCCCAGTAAACTTAAATCCTGAGATTGTTGTACCAAAATTCTCCTCTTCAATTACATTATTGTTGGTATGTCTGAAAGAAATTATGCCACACTTCAAATAATTTGAATCTAGTATAAACTTATGTTCTAGGATATCGGCACAGCATAAAATCCATATTACCTTTTCGACCTTAATTTAGAGTTATTCATCACATTTGTCACTCTTTCTTCATGTTCATTTCGTCACGTTATCAAGCAATTGGTCTTTGTTGGTTATTTTTCCCAGGTCTTTTATGAATATAAACTCACTATTATCAATTATTTCGTTAGAAGTATCAGAAGGAACATGAACATTACTCCAATAAGTTCCTTTTCCAAGTCCTTGAATAGGTAATTCAGTATTTAATTTTTCATGAGTTGATTCTTCATTTATTTGACTATCTGTTTCAGACAGATCTTCTTCAAAAATATCTACAACATCTGTTGCAATATCCCAGTCATCATTATTTACATCTGATTTTTCAAAAATTTTATTATCATCTCTTATATGATCCTGTGGGCCTTCTGACTTCACTTGATCTTTTAAAATTACATTAAGTTTTCTGTCTACTATTTGTCGAGGAATTTGTTCAATAAAAGGATTCACAGTGAATTCCATAGATTTCAGCAGTGTAAGTCTAGTTACTGGAATAAATTCAGTCTGTACAGATTTTTCAATATAAGATTTAATATTTTTCATTTGAAACATTTTTGTCATCATAGTGGAACGCGGCGTATACATTTGCATATTTGAATGAGGTTTCGACGTTATTACAAATTTGCCCAATTTCATTGGAAAAATCAATTGCTTTTGTCTAATATCTGGTAATTTTTGAGTTGTCGTTGTCATTGGATTTGTATATAAATTAACAACAGGTTTCGAGAAAATACTTAATTCTGCATCGACAACAATGAGTACTATATGTAGAAAAATCTGAAATTTAATTAATTAAGTACGTTAAAAAACTAAATTACTGATATAACACGTATATAATTATATATTATATATTCAGTAAATAAACTTACCAACACTTGAACGTTCATTTTAATTAATTTCTATTTATAATTTCACTCCACTTCACAGCAAGAACTACTGATTAATGAACTAAAATTTATTATCAAAAGTTTAAATACATACATCAAACTATTAATGGATTTCCTTCGAAGAAATTAGTTTACAAAATTATTAGCAACTTGCTTTTCTATTATAGCTATCAATTATTTAATGAGTAGCTATTAATTTTAAATATCAGTGCAGTTGTAACTTATTGCAATTAACAAAATACTGTAAATTATTCATACCTACACATACATATTATGTTACTAATATTCTACTATAGTTTCTAAACGTTATCTTTCAAATAAAAAAAAAAAAAGTATAAAATACCTACAATATATTTACGAAATTAAACAAAATATATTGTATACTAATAAAACGACAATATAAATACAACAAAATAATTAATACAAAACGTAAGTAAATATATAGTTATATTATATTATTAATATAACTGTAAAAGTATATGTTTTTATAATAAAAGTAAGATAATTTTAATAAGTGTAAAGTTAGTAAAATATATACTAAAAGTTATTAAAAAGTAAATTAAGATGGAATATATTCTTATGTTCCTTTAGGTCACATTTCCTATATAGACTGATAAACCTTATATTTCTAACACACAGTACATTTACCCGATACAGTAGTTGATACGACACACTCGTAAATAGGTAATAAACAAATTTCAAATATACACTTTTTCCTGGAAATATTGTTCATTTTAATTAAGTTAGTAGTCCTGTCACATCAAATATAGGAAGGTGGTGCACAGTTTCCCTGAAGTTCGGGACAGTACAACAAAATGTGTAACCTTCGTTTGGATTATCAGGATCCCAGGATAACCAGGGAAAATGTCTACTCCCTCTACAAATGTCTTCACAGAAGAACATCTCACGAGCTTCAGCCAAAGTGTAGTAAGGATTATTTATTCCTACAAAGGCAATGCCTCTTTTTGTACTCGGTTCATAGACAACTTTATAAAAATATTGAGGAACTGGTATTACTGGATTATTATTGACATCGGTATATAAAAATATGTCCACCCTGCGACCATATTGATTTAACAGTTGAGTAACTCCAAATGTCCCTGTATATACAACTGTATTATATTCAGCGACATGTATGTGGTTTCTTAAATCTACCTCCAATGTATTCCAATTTCCTCCATTAAATCCAGTCCATTGCGGAGCACAATTAACATAATGAAACGTAGATCGCTCTCCAAAAGCAAAGACAAAATCAGTTTTCGCTGCCAAATGACCTCTAGAAAGAAACTCATTTTCAGTGACATACGAATCAATCATAGGTCCAACTAACTGAGCAACTGCTGCCTTTTGTCCTTTTGGAGAAAACAAGGATTCTACTGGCACAAATCCGTAATTATCATTAGCTATAAAAAAAGGTCGTTCTACTTTCGTCTGATAGTTCGCATTGTATGCCTTTTGAGTATATTTCGAGTACACAGCATTGAGACTGGCTTCGTTAAAGCAAGATTCATAAACAGGATAAAATTCATTTTGAACTCTGTAACCTACTTCGATAATGGGATGACCATCAAAACAAGTGCGATTTGTACGCTGACTACTGTAATTTGGAGGGTAAAGGCATCTGAACATAGTAAAAATTGCTGGAGAATTTAACCAATCATCATTTTTGAAATTATCTCCACCTATACAAGTTATATCAGCTGTTATTTCATCGTGTTTTGCATTAGGATGAGATATATGAGATGCGCCTTCACAGCTCAAGGTAAGTGTTTCTCCTTGTTGAAGATCAACGTTGCCATACTTATCAGTAGGTTCTAGAAGTCTTCCGTCTTTCAGAATTATAGGTAAAGGTTCACCAAAATGCATACGAGAGTTTATCCTACATCTTTGTCCGTGGTGAATATTTAAAGCACAAAGGATTACCATATAAATCCGCCGAAACATAATTGTTATATTAATAAATTAGAAACATTTATATTTTTAGGAAACTAAAATATCGTTTTTCGATTAGTATAATTTTTTTTTATTAAAAAATGTAAACCATCACTAGACAAATTTGACTTAGTATGACAAAATGTGAATGGTGTCATAAATAATAAAAAATATTATTTATGGTAATAAATTATGAGGTAAATTTATTCAATAAAAAAAATAAAAAAAATTAATGGTTTGAGATCATGTTATGATTTCTTGTTCTATGCTAATAGCACAGATTAAGAATAGTACCTAACTATGGTGGGTATGGTCAAACACTTAGAACTTTAGATATTTCTAAAGTTCTAAGTGTTCGACTCTAATAAGAGTTTTAAAAAATTTTAATTAAGAAAATGAAATTCTAACCTATACACAAATCTCCGTTTACACTACGTTGGTCTTAGATTAGTATTAGATTAATACCAACCTAAAACAATTACAACAATTTACTATTGCACACGTACTATTCTGTTTTTAGTTCCTTAAGCCTTTCACATAGTCACGCACATTTACACGAAATCGTAATGTCTTATATTTACAAATGGGAAAATGATTAGATTTTGGATGTTTATATCATCATATCGTTTATATCTCTATCACTCTGAAAATGCTAAACAGATTTTAATAAAGGTCAATGTCCCATTTGGTGGTCTCCTACGGTTCATCTGTGTATGTGCCAAACTCCATCCAATTTAATTAGTAGCTCCTAAGAAGTGTTTTTTATTCAATTTAATATAGACAAAATCACTGATTACAGCTAGTTATCATAAAATGCATATTAACGTACTATGAATAAATCGAGTTTAAGTAACTAACAACGGAATAGAAGAGTAAACCAAACAAGATATATACGTAAGAAAAGGCCGTTGACACTCGTTTCTATCTACCTACCCCGTAAGGGATTTCACGCGAAAATATTTTATGCCATTACTCCTGATTCTCATAAATATTCAAATGCTTTTTAACCATTTATGGGAGAGAGCTATATGTAGAAGTAGATAGGAGACAACTAATTTATAGAGATAATAAAATGATGAAATGAATCGTGTTTTCTATGTGTGACACACATGCCTTATCTGTCCTTTGGCTTCTCTCGTCTCATGTATGTATCTATTCATCATATTAGCTATTAACTGTCCACTGTTGTACATAGGACTACTCTATACGGTGTTATTAGTAGTGCTAGCACGCTAGCCAAGCGTGCTGGCAGCCGTAGTTAGGATTTATGTAAAAAAAATCTGAAAGAAGAGGAGGACTCAACTACCACCACCATTTAAATCAAAAAGACAGCGTTTCACCCACCAGGAGAGACTTAGAGTCAGACTCGGGAGCATTCGCCCCCAGAGTTGAAATCGGGACAAAGGGTCTTACCCCGAGACCCCACATAGCCCTTTCCACCAGGAGGGCCAAATCACCATTGCTTCTGCTCATCCATCGACCATTATGTTTCCTTAGTCGCCTCTTACGACCCCCATGGGAAAGGAAGCGATGGCTCATTCTATGCCGGGACCACACGTATCTATCACTGGTTTAAATCATGTTTACTTGATACCCCATATGACGACAGATTAAAATTACAATGTGTGATCATTTTTTTTTTCATTCCCCCGATGTCGAAAGAGAAATTTTATGGAATGAAACATTCTATTACTAGTGAATAAAAACAGAAATTTGAAATAAAATCCTATACCGAGTATCCTGGCTAGTATGGTAATAGCTATGGGTTCTTTGGTTTTGAACAACTTTTTGCTAAGAGCACTATTAAAATTAAAAAATCATTTTTTTATTACATGACCGACAGGTTCATAGAGGACGCGAATTTTTTTTTTCATATTATGACTTAATTAAAATGTATGTACATAATAATTCGATTATTAAAACTGTCCAATTTTACAAACACTATTAGATTATTACACCTGTTCGGTTACACTCTGTAGTTATTGGATAAAAATTTAAAATATTAACCTTCATTTAAGAGTGTGTTCTGTGAAACCGAATATTTTCGCAAAATAACAGGGATTGAGAAACGACAAAAAATTTAGAACGTTCCATACGTAGATTAAGAACAGTACCTGCCTCCTACATTATCTTGAAAGCTAGATGGACCGTGTTATTTTGGTTTCACCGACTTGGAATCGCACACCGTACGTATAGGTACTTTTTAAAAGAAAATGTTTAGTTTCACTGGCTTAAGATTTTCGTATAAGAATGCTAATCAAAAAATTTCGGTTTCACCATGTATAGGCAGTTACCATTGCTTTTAAATGTAGTAATTTATATTTATTGACTTCTAAAATTCTATTAAATAAAATATTTGTTTAATTCTGTTAATGTATGATAATCTCAATACTTGTATGTAAGTAATGGACAATCTCTGAATTTATAATTTCTCATGCCGCAATCTTAATGATAGACATCCATAAGAAAAAATACTTAGATAATGAAGAGCACTTGAAAATTCGAAAAATGCTTTCGACATTGCGTCTCAGTATTTATTTGTCTAGACTGTGGCACAGATACATGGTAAAATACATAACTGCATACACTATTCGCTACCTCATGAATCTCACGAATTGTTTTTTTTACAGACATATTTAAATATTCATATATGATATATGCATACCTAGATATATTATCCTGTTAGAATTTACATATATCATAAGCATATATTTATAATTCTAACAGGATTTTTTTGTCATTTACAAGTAAAAACTGGTATTCTAATTTGTTTAGTTACAAGGCATAAGGTAACGCAAACAAATTCGAGTATGCTAACTATGTACCTACTTAATAAAAAGAGACTGAACTTTAGCACTAGTCAGTGTAAAACTAATCACAGTTGGAATGTGAATGAATGAATATTCACATATTTTTTCTGGGGCCTCTAAATTGATGAACACAGATGATTAGAAGACGATACTCCACTATTAGACAATAATTCTGAGTAACTAAGTGCCTCTTTAAACTTCCTGTTTGCCGCCATTTCTCTCTCATGTGTCATAATTCTGCGATCAAGTAGATACCTTTGTGTGGCTGTAGATATTATATAGAAGTAAATTCTATGATGTTCGTAGAGCTTTTTATATTTTATAGGTGATGTTTACTAATTTTAATCAGACTGACCGCTTGCATTTTAAAATAAATTTATTTTATCGCTACGATAACGCTCTCAAAATATATCAAACCTCAACTCCGCGCATGTTATTTCCTCATTCCCTCAATATCGGTCAGGAGCGTCACATGCTTGACAAATAATTAACATAGAAGTACGAAATATAAACAAGTACATTGTTGTTAAATGTTTGTGCAAACCTAAATACATACACGTGCTCTACTCGTATGAGCTATGTCTACGTGCGATCATTCGCTTATGTGACCGACTCAACATGACACGGAATATGGTAAGTTAACTAACTTATACATTTTCTTATTTAAAATTTAAAATTAACAAATCACAAGTGTTATTTCTTGGTGTACTCATACTCTATGATTTTCTATTTATTTTTTTCTGTTCCATAAATTATATTATTATCATATTGTTTTGTTATAATCATATTGTTCAGATACTTATGGGATTATTTCTACCATTCTTTGTATTAATTACATAAGTTTACTTAATAAACATAATATTGTCTATTTTATAAGTAGATTATTTTGTGTTGTTATTGGCTTTTTTATAAAATGTAAACGGGTTTTGTTTTATTTACAATATATACATTTTAAACTCCAGAATGTGGCACAAACTATTAGTAAAAAAAATTGCAATAGTGTCAATCTTATGTACTAATAAAATTGTTAATATTATATACTAATAAAAGTCAAAGGATGGATATAAATTGTATATTCAGTTTAAAAACTTAAAAATTATTTTCATATTTCGACTTATATTGCTTCTTACACGTTCTTTAGAGAAAGTAGTTCATTTTCAAAATAAAAGCATTCATAATCGGAAGTCTAGCAAATTTTGCATTCTATATCAGTATTCAAAAATAATTTTTAATTAAATAATTAATTTTTAATAGTTTTGAACAATTATTTAAAAAAATTGTATATTGAGATTTCGGATACTATTCTTAATCTATGCTTATAGCAAACTAATACGTTAATCATAGAACAAAATTGAATAAAAATCTAGTGGTCAAAACTTTGCAACCAATTTTATATTTGATTTTGAAACAATTGTGAGTTAAGAATTTTGTTCCATGCTTAACGTTAGTTTAGTACAAGAGCATGTTTTAAATAATAATGTTTAATTACAGACTGATAACTATTAACATTACACGTTAAATCATGCACTTATTTAAATTTATGTAAGTAAACGTGATGATATTTGACCTCTATTTACAACATTTTTTTATCACTCGCCCCAATTACTTAGGACATATACCTACTTATAAACTATTAAACTAAATATTCATATTTATATTTATGTTTAAATATTTTCAGAAGAATATCTTTAATCAGTCATTAAAATACACATTTGTATATGTTATATAATATTAGCTGTGCAAAAAATGCATCCCTCGTTTTATTATTATCTACTACCTATTTAACTATATCAAAATAACACAAACAGACACCTAATAGGGGAAAAAGGATTGTTAGTAATGCAGACTACCAGTCATATTGCTAGCAATATACCCTGTCATAATCGACCTCCATGTGGTTCCCCCTGGAAGCCATCATGCTGAATTCCAGGTGTATTCATGATAGACTAACTGACCTGCTTTTTCATTCTCACATATCATCCCTCATTGGTGCCCCGTCAGCGAATACCGTTAGCGCAGGCGCCGTTACCATTCCATTATCATCCATTAAAAAAAACAGACACCTAATAACAATTCTGATGCAATAGGAATAAGGTTCTAACAAGTATGTACATACATTTGCTCCGCAAAACTCGCACATTTGTATTAGATTGAAAATATTTTAATGTAGAGGTATCGTGTATGTAAAAATAAACTTTACATTGAAATAAACAATTTTTGTTCTACAAAAAAATAATATAGATTAAGACGATGGATTGAAAAAAAAAAAGATGCTGAAATAGGATATTTACAAGAACGCTGTTCTTGTAAATATCAAATATAATATTATTTTACTTATTTTCGTTTTTTTTTTTTATATTTCAGATATTTTTGGTGCTTTCTATAATGGTGCTTGCAAGCGGAGTCACAGGATATGTACTTCCAGCTGCTACTAATGTTGTGTCTACGGAAAACTCAGAACAAGATATAAGGACTATGCAGAGCGATAGCATACAAAAAGAAGAAAAAATATCGGACGATTATAGGAAATACAGTTATCTAATTACCACTTATTTATAAATTTATAAGCAAGATAGATATCTACTGAATTTTGGCAATTTTTGGCTATTTCATATATTGCTACACAAGATGTAACATCAAAATCATTTTAAAGTTATTATTTTGTGCCGGGATGCGAAAATCAAAAAATGATATCACATTTTTACTACAGAGGTTAGATAATGTCTTACATCTTTTAAAATTTGTTCCCCCTCAAAAAATGATTTTCAAGAATAAAATCGTAGATTCCTACGCCCCGGTGCCTATGCTATCTACTTATAATATTGACTTTGGCGTAATAACCTGTGAGGGTTATATCAGGATGAGGATGAAATCAGGTAAATTAACACATCATGACGAATTCACCACAATGGTTTCTGACCGAGTATTTAATGATCCCCATTCCTTAGCTTGATTAAGACAAACCTGTGCCCCGTGTTAGATATGGGTGTCCAATGTAGCTTATATAAACAAAAAACCTATATAACAGAAAGGGCAAGATAAGTGAATCTAGCAATAGTCGTATACCCCGCGAGACATGGATCGAAATATAAAAATAATTTCAGAATATTTCATTTTGTGTTACATAATGTTAATGATTGGCACAATTTGAAATAGTGTTTTATAATTTCCACAAAAGTTGCTCGAGAAATATTTCTATGAATGTTAAGAACCTATCACTCTATTTTGGAAATTTTGTTAGATATATGTTACCTATTTAATATACAATATCTATGTGGTAGGATGAGTAACGTTATCTCTCTGTATTACTATTTAACTACAATGTAGCTTTACATTTACAAAACTATACGCTAATATTTTTTTTATTATACAATTTTTATCATGAGAAATAGAATAAAAAGATAAGTTATTTGTTTTATTAAAATTATTACTAACTGTGTCACTAAACTCTGTTACTAACAATCCCCCTCTTTCTATTTATGTGTAAGTACAAACATGTTGCTCAAATTCTCGGTAATTCTGACATTTGACACTAAATGACAAAGATAATGTGAGTCAAATTTAAATCGCCTAAATTAAATGTTTCCCGTCCAACGTTAGATAAAGTATCTCTCATTGTAAAAATATTTTTTTCACACCGACTGTTCTCCATCTAGACAGTTGTAATTAAATAACTTGTAACCGTCAAATATAATGTTTCTTTTGATCGATTTCAATCGCGCGAATGTAGGTACTAAGTTTAATTTATATCAATTTGTATTTCCTTCTTATAATTGACATTGTTTCGTTCATTAGAGATCGTTGACACAAGACAGGGCCAAAGTTCGTAGCAGATAGCTAACAGCTGTCTGACTGACTAATACTTTAGGTAGGTACCTACATAGGCCGGATCCTCACTATAGTGCCGATCTTGCTCTGCTCTCAGTATGGTCAGTAGAGACCTTATAGTAAGTACGTTATACCTGTGGTACGCTAAGTTTATCGTTTTTTTAAGCATTGCTTCTAGTATACGCCATAAAAAACTGTCTATGCTAGATTTTTATCACCATGTTTGTAGTGGTCTCGTACTCAGATGGATTGAATATGGCTTGTCGGTTCACCTAGAGAGATTGTTATTATATATTATTGTATTATTATATAACTAACTCTATGGTAGAATCAGATATTGATCTCGACGGATTATAGTGTGTATTTTAACCATTGGTTTTACATAATAATATTTTAAAAGACCGAGAACAGACCGATACCGGCACTACAGTAGATCCAGCAGTACAGTAAGTACTGTTAGAGCTGTTAATTAAAATTGTAAATTATAACATCATACGTCCCGTTTACACTAATGGTAGTAGGAAAATTATATAAAGAAATTTATGTATATATGTAAAGATACGTGTCTAACATAATTATGACTATCTTCTCCTTTTTTAAGGTTTACTAAAACTTACTACTCGTATAATGATTAAACATTTTCATAGAAATTTCCACAAAAATTTATCATAAGAAATTCCGCATGGACGATGGGACACAGCTAGTATATAACATATGTCCTTATAAAAATTTATACATATCAGCGCAAGCGTTACTTCCTATAGTTGCGTCAGAATTCTATTTACCCTAAGACGTGGCGAAATAACAGATAGCAAAATACAAGTATGTGTGACAAACGCGTGCATGTAAGACCTAATAATAGTGAAAAACATTTCACAATAATTTTACGAAATTGAAACGACCGCATTATCTTCCCTTTTATTGATTCATACAATCGGTAATAGACATTTTAGTTAAACACAAGTATCGTCCGCTCTTCTCCTAGTGGATGGCATTGGCTCTTTGAATCTTTGCATAGATCTCCAACAAGCCTTCGCGGAGGCACTGTATGTGTCCATATACTCAGTTCTTCCGGGGAACGCTGTGAACCAGGTTTGTATTGACTTGGGAGCAACTCCTGTATGTACTTTTCCTGGAGGTTGGATGGTTAGTCGGACAGTAGGGGGGTTTTCAGTGAAGTGCGTCGGGTCCTTGTAGCAACGCAGCATGCCAAGGCGGTTGCTTTCCATCGGTATTGGAGCGGTGGATTGTGATGCTGCTATGATTGTTCTGTAGTCAGCTACAGGAAAAGCTGTAGACAAATGTGTCGGTTTAAGATTTGTCCCAAAAATATTGACAACATATACCATTTTTTTCTGTTGTCCCAGAAAGCGACACCCTCATACGAATATTAACAATATTGATACACAAGAGATCTTTAAACCCTTTCATCAAAATCGATTTGGAATAGTTACTTTTGGTGACATCATCATAGATCAAAAAGTACTTTTATAATAATCGGGTAATAATTTTGTATCATTTCTCATTACAGTGAAATGTATTTACTATTTTATAAATGGTGCAATAAAGTGTAAATAAATAAATAAAAATAAATAATCGTGTAACTCAACTATTTTATAGAACTTATGAAATATAAGCCTGACACGTTCTCTGCCAGTATTTACTAGTACCTAGCTATTTTAACTGATATCCACTGCCCTTTCTGGTAACAGAGGAACAAAGCAATGTATTACCTATCACTTCTTTTCAATCTCAGGATATTCCAGAATTATTTGCGTATTTAAAATTATTTTCCAGGGGGCACCTAAGCTCTTATAAAAGGAGCATATTCGTATGTACCCTTAGACATGTTTTTGCAAAGCTCCGCTCGCATCCTGGGGTTGTCATTCTGACAACCTGTAGTGGACACAGTCCATCCTCCCCCTCTCCTTGAATCACTATGCCCAGAATGTGTTTATATCAATATGCCTTTACAATGAAATCATGTAATATTTACAGCCTATGGTTTGGGTAGCATGGCAATAATAATTTATCTATAATCTATGTTGTATAATGCAAATAAAGAATACTTATTCATTCATTCAATAGTAGGCTCTTATTTATAAGGGGAAATCCTATTTATGTGATGGAGAGTGTTAATGGGTAGTCATAATACTCACATCTCTTCTTATACGTAGCCTGATACATTGTGATCATTTTACTGTCTAAATCATCGCATGGGTGATCCAATATATCATTGGTAACGTCCACCATCTATAGCATATAACATAATAAGATGATTCGTGTAAAATATAAGACTGATACAATAAATGTTATGAATAATAATAGATACGAAAGTCTTCTATATGAGTACCTCTGCTCCACTCGTGTTTCAGTAACGGAATAGCTGTGCTTGTACGGATTCCCTCAGTGTCATATCAGCCATTAACTGTCCACTCCTAACCTTGGGCCTCCCTCTTAAACTACCCTGATATTTACCACTCGAGGGATATCGTCAATAGTTGTAGAAGTAAAATGGTCGGCATTAGCAAGCGGGGGGGGGGAGGGGGAGGAGGGAATGTTAGTTATGGAGACTGAGAATCCCATTGCTAGCAATATACCCAACCAGGTAGACCTTCTCGCGGTTCCCCCTGGAAACTATCTTGGTTAATTCCTGATGAATTCATCATGATGTGCTAACTGGTCTGTTTTCATTCTCATCTATCACCCTTCACTGGTGCTCCGCCAGCGTATCCCGTGAGCGCAGGCGGGGTTACCATACCATTTTCACCCATAAAAAAAAAATATCAAGCGGACAACCACAGTTAGACTTTCATGATGTTTTGAGAGGAATGCTGCTGCTCAGCCTTCGGCTATTAAGGCCTCTTAGTCGCCTCTAATGATACTTATGGGAAAAGAAGGGGTGACCCATTCTATGCTGACACCACATGGTCACAGCCACAATTTGCACCGATTTGTTTTGATTTAAATATGGCAGTAAAATTAGATTACCTAAGCAGTATGACATCTTTGTCCTCGAGATCTATAGATGAGAGTTTTTACATTCTATCAGATGATTCGTCAATTCGGTTTGACATTTCGAGTGGTATAAAAAATTGTTGTAAATAAAGTTAGATAATAGAGAATATATTATCCATGAAAAAAAATAACCTGTTTTCTCAAATGTTCATAGTCTTCACACAACTTCTGCTCCTTTTCAAGTAATTGCTTGTATTGCTCGACCCTCGGGGAATATGAATGCGCGTCGCAGTGACAGTATGGTGCGACTGGAGCCGGTTGCACGGTGGGCATCGCCGTTGGACTCGGCGGCTCGCATGGCCTGAAAGTTTTTCAGTTAGCATTTGCAACTTTTGCTAAGATAATTATTGCTATTAGATATCAGTAAAACAAACGATTTATGATTTTAACACCGACTTCAATTGTGGCAAAACGCTAATAACATTAATGTTAAAATTTATTCTAATTTAAAAACTAAACTACTAAACTGATTTGTTAAAATGTCTATAGGACCAATATGACAGTAAAAATACCTATATATTCTTTCAAATAAAATAAATATGTTTTTAATTTGGTTTTTATATGACGATAGAAAAAGAAATCAATCGAATTGAGACACTCCTTTATTTACGAAATTGGTTGAAAAGGGGTGAAATGAGAAAACCTCGTTTAAGTTTTTTTTTTTTTTAGATACGTATATGCGATTTCCAATTGATTAAAAAGGATTTTTGGGTGATTTTAATATTCGACTGAAAATTTTACCTCGTTGATTATATTAACATTTATATCGTTAAGTTATTTGTCAGTTTTGAATTTGGTCGATATTTTTCTAAGGATGCGACTGACCAAGACTGGTACATGAATGCTACCTTTGAGTTAGGGGCGTGCGTTTATCGTCAATTCGATGTCAATTTTTTCAAAATTCAGTTGCCTTTGATAAATTATTTTTTTTATAAATTCCATAAGACTTTGGATGTTTAGGAAAATGTTGCTCAAAGATAATAACTAGGAGCAAATATGTAGTAAATGTAGTTTTTTTTTAATGGGTGATGATGCAATAGTAACACCGCCTGCGCTAACGGTATACGCTGGCATGGCACCAGTGATATATGGTAGATGATGATGAAAGCAGGTCAGTTAGCCCATCGTGAAGAATTCCACAAGAGGGAACCACGTGAAGGTCGACCTGATTAGTAACATTGCTAGCATTGGGGCTGTTAGACCCCATCGCTAATAATCCCTTTCCCCCTAGTAAATGTAGTTAGTACATACTTCCCTACGATGGGCTTCGGGAAAGGCCATTGGTAGTCAGTGTGTGTAGCAGTTCCAAAATCCATTTCTTGATTGTCTGAAAATTGATAACTAAAACTAATAACTACAATAAAATATCGAAGTAAAAAAGTTGTTTGTAACATATACATACATACATAGAGTATATTGTTGATAAAAGGTATTGAAATATACAGAAAAAAAATATTGTATTACATGTATAAAACTTTGTAGGTACCTAAGCTTTATAAGAACCTATTAAGTGCATTTTTTTTAATGCGTGAAAATGGAATAGTAACCCCTCCCGCGCTATCGATATACACCGACGGGACACCAGTGGAAGATGATGATGAAAATGAATGCAGGTCATTTCGCCCACCATGATGAATTCCACAAGAATTAATTGCGATAGTTTGCAGGGGGAACCGCGTGGAGATCGATCTGAGACCTATTAGACCTCATTACTAACAATCCCTTTTCCCCTAAATAAGTGTATTATATACAACATGTCAATGCGTAATAATAGAATCACGGTATAATGGTGAAATTATGTGTAGGCTAAGTCTAAAAGAAATATATCAAGTGTTATAAGTAACTTTTATAAAAGACACAGTCGTACCGTTTATTAAATTAATTAAGTAAGTACATTAATATTTTTTAGATTTATTAAAATCACTTCTGCTAAATGACACCCTACATAATTTAAAATTGCTTTCATAGCCAAAAACTTTAGCTGCACCAAAATTTCTTCAATCAGGGAAGATAAAAACATTTTTGACGGTTTATATTTTTTTTTAAATGTCAACATTTTAAATGCGAGTTCTGTAAATAACCATAATATAAATATAGGTCAAATCAAGGTCATATATAAGTAGTCAGCACAGGTAGTAAGAGCTGCAATAGGTTGCAACCGTAGTTGCAACCTTATGGTGCAACATGTATACAGCCAAATTACCTATATGTTCTTTATTACAGCAATAATACGAAAACTTTATTCAATTTTTTAATTTGTTGCAATTTTTTTAGTTTGTAGGCGCAATATTTGGTTCATATCTTATTTTATCACATATAAGAACTTATAGTCTTTAATAAGAATCATTCCGTTATTATGTAGTTAGCAAACAGTTTGCGATAGCGAAAAATTGTTCATTATAGGTAACAATCCAGAATATCTTAACAAAGACAGTAGATAAATAATAGTTTGTCTAAAGGAATAAATATCATGCGTTTATAACGCCTCTGCTGAACGATTTCCGAACTAAAAATAATACCATAAATTTATTTTATTTAATGTCGTTCAATTGTTAAATCTGTTGTCAGAGAATAGTACATCTAACTGATTTTACAATTCGGACACAATCCTATTACGTAACACCATCATTCTTGTCAATTAGCAATCAATCATAATTAAATCGTACAACGATTGTTAAATATACACTATTCTTAATCTATGGTGTCAAATCTTAAGAACAAGGAATTACATAAAAGGATAACTGTAAATCATATAATTGCCTCCTTTCTTCTTATGCAAATATAATTAGTAAAAAGAGGACGAAAAATATACTATCAGTTACTATTTTTGTTAATTATCGATCCATTAATCGATTTTATATAGAGTTACATGTATAAAAAAAATTAAAAATTTAAAAACATTATAATGTATATTATTAAAAAACAAAATTAAAATATCTGGAATAAAAAAATACATTTATTTTAGAAATGTATTGCTTTTTATAAAATTACTTATGTTTGGGTTCTCTTCTTCTTCTATTCAAGTAATTATAAATAATTTTAAAGTATATCACAAAATAACCTGAATCTTAATTTTCTAGATTGATAATATTAGATGTATTTTTTTTTTATATATATACAACTTTGAATGGCAAACATGCTGACGGCCCACCTGATGGAAAGTGGTAACTGTCGCCTAAAGACATGAGCAGTACCATGGACATAACAAAGTATACTGTTTCCACCATGATAACTCCCATGCGTTGCCATTCCTGAGGACTCAGGTGTTATTCCTCTGTACCCAGTAAATTCACGCCATATCCCACCCTTCAAACCGAAACACAGCCATGCAAACACAGCTGCTTCAAGGTTGAAACATGAATGAGACAGAGGTACCCAAGCAATCGACTTTTGTACAAAGTCTCCCTCTGGTGTTATAGTGTTGTATATCCATTGCTAAGATAACGATTCTGTGATTAATTAATTCATTGCCATGTGTAAACTGTGAGCACGTAATCTTAAAATTAAATAGTAGATACAAAACTTTCTCAAAATTTTATTTATTTTGACTATATAAAATAAATGTTCCACCATAGATAATATTCATTTACATTACAGACTGTACTAAAAGAATTTACAGGCGAATATTGTTGTAAGGATAAGGGTTATAAAAATATTTCGGTAAAACTTTTTCATTTATAGCAACATTTAGTAGGTTTTGTGTTTTTTGATTTGATAACACTGATTTGTTTTGCTGTCACAGTCATCAAATCAGCTGTGTATTGCACACAGGGAACATGTAACAATAAATGCGTATTAAATTATCGGTGTGAAAATGTCCACTGAGACAATTGATAAAAAGGCAACTCAATGTTTATGATAAATTCACGGCTAACGAGAAATGGCACGCCGGAGGAGCAGTGGTATCATGAGCTTGGGATTTAACCAGGATCAAGGTTTGGGTTTTACTTCCTAGTTCGTCAACCTTATTTCTTTGTTCTTCGGTTGTACATTATTCATATTATGGATGAGTTAGGCGCGTGGCTATAATGTCAAGTGGCGAGAGGACGGCGTGGTCAGCGCGTGTGGTTATATCGAGTCTGTTATGTACGACGCACAGCGCGCCACGCTGTACCGTTCGTCACAGCACAGCTACACGTGTTGTTTATATTTTTAGTAGCGCGCCCACGCGCAGTTTCTTGACTTCTTGCTATTGTTCAGGTTTTACTTTTACTTGCCCTAATTATTTTAATTCATACTAGTTATTATTATTTAGGAGCATTATTTATGGATTTATAAACGTATTTCATGTAAACTGGCATCTAATGAATTTTCAATGTATCTACTTAAATTATTATTAAATGTTAAACTTTAGTATAACAAATATTTTACAATATTGTAGGACATTTTAAAATTAATTAACTATAGCTTCTAATTGATATGATACTATACTGTTTACAAAAAAATAAGTGTATATATATTATGCCTGGCATCTATTGAGGAAGTCAGACAATAGAATACTTAATGCACAATTCAAATAGACTGTTTAATAGTTATGATATTAGTTGATACCTACTGGCAGTCTCTTAAATTGCAAATTTATTTGCATTTTAATGTGTATGTTTCATAATTTTCAGTATATATAGTGTATATCCTACATAGCAAACTTCTATTTAATGAAAACCTCCTTAAAATGTAGAAATTACTAAGGTTTGCTTGGTTTACATTGTTACCTTTGTATTAAAACATTTTTTATAGTATTGCAACCACTCTTAATAGTGAAACAATACAATATTATTTAGATGCCAATAAACATTAGTTTCACTAACCTTCAAACACAATATTGTCACAGAGTCATAAATATTTCTTTCTTTTCAAAAAGACCCCACTATATAGCAAGATATAGATGAAATACAATGAAAGATACAATAAAAATACTGGCATAGTAAAAAATGAAGATAACTGATTATAACTATATGTAATTTTTTTTACACTTAATTTAGTCAAAATTCAAACATATTATTCGTAAAATTATATATTTTTTTACTCTTGGTTTAACAAAAATACCTGTTCCATCAATTTCACTATATAGAGTTTTTACCATATTATAAAATATCTTCAAATGTGATACCTAATACATATGACCTAGTTTAGCCACTAATGTTCTAGGCTTTATAGTACATTTTTATACTTGTATATCTATATGTACATTAAAACATTATTGTAATGTTCCACAGGCTGCTTCACTTGCTGCCTAAGATCTGGCCTGCGCGTGTACAATGTGGAACCACTTGTCGAGAAGGCCCACTACAGTAAGTGTTATAAAATAAAATTATTAAGAAATAAAAGAGTAGCAAATATATTAATATATATTTTAAACTACATAAAACATTAGAATCAGATTTATGAAAAACCATTTCCTAAACTTATGAAAGGAAAATAAAATTTAATATAAAGTAGTTTTACTAAAGTTTTATCAACACTATTAATAATACTAAATTCTTTACACATTAACAAAATATCTTAATTGATGTTTGTTCCCTATCTTAATAATATTTAAATATAAATGTATAAGTATTAGATAAAGGTTTATAACTTTTATCTTCTGTTACTAAAATTATGTTACTAAGAGGTAACATTAATCAAAATTCTCTCATCTTGATTTGTAAAAGTTTACAAAATTTCTATTTATAGGTAGTAGTGTATTAATTGAAATATATTAGAATAACTATATGTAAGGTATTGTTTGTTTTCAATGTTTAATGTACAAATGAAATATGTTTGGCAAAGAATAAAATATGTATATGAATTGGTATACTTATATGAAATATATACAACTATATTATATATATGTCACTGTAGTTATTCTTGCAATTACACATGTTAATACAACATACATAATTATAAATATTGTTGAATGAAATCAGTGCCAAGATGTTGATGACAATACAAATTATTCTAGTTTGAACAGTATCAAATATCAAAGGCAAAAGTTCCTTATCAATAAATAAAACATTGTTTCAATAGATGTTTATAAAATGTAAACATTGACAAATCATGTTTTTTTTTTTATGTGAAAAAAAAATCTATTATTTTTATGTGAAAAATACATAAGCACATTTTGATAAAACATTTAGTTAATTAGAAATTAGCAAGTCTCTTCTAGAGTAACAATAACAAACTTATTTAAATTTAAACACATTTAGTCCTTTGTAGTGTAAAATAGTATAATTTAGTCATACAAGGCTAAAGTCTGACCTCATACAAAATATTCTATACATTGCCCCAATATAGCATAAATATACATAGCATGCACTGTATTATCTCAGAAATATATAACAAGTAAAATATAAACCGTGATACACATCTATATATGCCATCTTTTTACTGTTTTTTTTTTTATTTTTAACCAACTTCATTATGTATACAATATACATAAAAGTGCAAAGAACTGTTTTGAGAGTTACCCCCATACTAAATATTTTAACCAATGTTAATACAAATAGGGTGATTTTTTTAATCAATAAGGTTTCAGTATCTTACATATCATAGTTTTGGTTAGCTTGTTCCTTTAGAAAAAATGTTAAAATGATATAAGTACAAGAGAAAATAATTTCTTGTTTGATTGTTATTGCCATATTTATTTCTATATTGTTTATAGGTTATTATGTAATTTATCTTATCTATATAATTTACAAGTGCAATAAAGAATATATATATATATATTCAATAACTTCAGAAAGTTCACAATTCACCTGTATATAATATATATTTGTGCAAATATCATATGATGTTTTGACCAATTTTGAAAATTCTTGTGCCAATTAATAGAGTTTACTATAACAATTTTGATACAATTGACCTATTTTTCACAGTCCATAATTGTAAATTTTTATATTTACAACACATTTAATTATGAGTTTCAACCAAAAAATCATGAAAAACACACCTGTTATCTCACTGTTATCTCTTTACTTAATGGTCTATAATGTGTTTTGTTATCAATTGTTTAAAGAAATATTATTTAATAATGCAACCCATAATATGAACAACATCTGCATTATCTTAATATTCCTAACAGAGGGACTGCATTCAAGACTAAAATTAATTAATTTATCAATAGTTAATCAATAGTTATTCATCAATAGTTACCTGTGGTTTCTTCTTTTTTTATTGTTTTAAAGCTTTTCTATAAAAGTAATTAATCTTTAAAAAAAAACTAATTATTACTTTATTTTAATAATAAAAATTCAGAAATACTTAAAAGTTGCTAAATCTCTCGGCTTTACGCGTAAATATTAAGAAATACGAAAAGTTTTAGTAAGAAAAAGAATAAAGGTTACCCTTTGTTGTTGTTGTTAATGTAGGTTATGATCCACTTGTATATGAATCATTGAAATCCGTTCAGTCATATAAATATGATTGTGTACCTAACAAACAAAAGACTCACAGTATTTTTTCTCGCCTTTGTCATAGTAAAACCTTTGTGGCATAAAAAAATGCAATTATTACTTATTTTTAGTATGATACGTACATAACTGCGTATTTTGGATATTATAAAAAAAATAATTATCAGTAAATTCTAACTGCGTAGATTTACATAAAAAATTGCTATATGCTTGCTTTATATCTTTGTTTTTGTCATTTATCGTAGTGGGACACGATTTTATCGTTCTGATAATACAATAGGAAACCAAAATGTATAGAAATATATGGAGATGCCTTCAATTTTCCGTGCACGTTCACGCGATCGACACGATGACATGTTTAAAAGTTAGTTTTATATACAAGTATCGTTACATTAATATCGTCTCCTGTTATGATAAATTATAGAAACTCCCGATGACTATTTTTTATGTCACGTCGTGTCCTGCCGATAATTTTTTTAAATGGGTGAATATGGAATGGTAACCCGTCAGCGCTATCAGTATACTCTGGCCCACTGGGGCTCTCACTGGAGAGATGATAGGTGAGGATGAAAACAGGTCAGTTAGCTCTTCGTAACGAATTCAAAAAGAACTAAAGCATAAAAGTCGACCTGATAGGGTATATTGCTAGTTGTGGGGCTGTTATGTTACTAACAACTCCCCCCCTCCCTCACGTCGTGCCAAAGCTTTTTAATGGATGATAATCATCGCGTCTGTGTTAACGGTATACGCTGGCGGGGTATACCGTTCAGTAGAGTAGTAGTATTCATAAGAGAATGCTATTTGCCTCTAGTCAACATTCTCCCTCACAACATTTTGAGACTACTAAAGATTTTTTTTTATACAACTTAGAATGGCAAACAAGCTGACGGCCCACCTAATGGAAAATGGTAATCGTCGCCTATAGACATGAGCAGTACCGTGGACATAACAGAGTATACTGTTTCGCCCATCATACTTACCATGCGTTGCCATTCCTGAGGACTCAGGTGTTATTCCTCTGTACCCTCTAAATTCACGCCATATCCCACCCTCCAAATCGAAACCCAGCCATGCAAACACAACTGCGTCACGGTAGAAACACGAATGGGACAGAGGTACCCAAGCAATCGACTTTTGTACAAAGTCAAAAATTTCTAACGAACACCACATAGCATAATAAATTTTAAATTCTTATTCTAATGAATATTAAAATCTTTTAAATGTAGTCAAGTCATGCCTGTCCTTTTATTGTTATGTGGTAACTGTCACTTATAGACATGAACAAAATTATGCATATCACAAAATACTCTACATTCACATTCTTTCCTAAGGTTTGTGGTGTTTTTTTTTTGATGGGTGAAAATGGAATGGTAACCCCGCCTGCGCTAATGGGATACGCTGGCAGAGCACCAGTGAAGGGTGATAGATGAGAATGAAAACAGGCCAGTTAGCCCATCATGATGAATTCATCAGGAATTAACCATGATAGTTTCCAGGGAGAACCGCGAGGAGGTCGACCTGGTTGGGTATATTGCTAGCAATGGGATTCTCAGTCTCCAATACTAACAATCTCTTTTCCCCCAGGTTTGTGGTGTTGTGTCCCCGTACCCTGTAATTTTACTCTCTCTAATCTCACTCTTCAAAGCCATGCAAGTACAGCTACTTAACTGCAAAAATGTGATATTTCTTATTACCTGCTCTTGGATAGGTACACTATACTACAATTTTTTTTGTATTCTAGGCAAAGATGAGTTGGGCGAGGTATTACTATGCGAGATGGTGTTCCGCACCAACTGGCTCCTGGTGGTGAAGGCGCGCCGGCCCTGCAACCTCTTGCTGCTTGACGACCAACAGCGCGTTTTCAAAGCCGAGGTGCTGTTCAAGTCGCCTATAAGAGCATTACGCGCTAGGAAAGATAAGTACGTTGATAATTTACTTCTATCTGACGAATTTCTTATCACACAGACTGCTCTGAATTGTGTCACAACAAAATTTTATACAAATTATATCACTTTTCGCCACGTGATCGTAAATGTATTTAAACGAATATTTTCTATTATCCATAGACAGATGCTTTAAACTGTTCCTTTCATCAGGTTACAGTATAAAACGCAACGGAAACAAAAATTAGATCACTCAAAGTTAACAATAGGTAGTTATAACGTTAAAAGCGATCTTTTCTAGGCGACCTTGGTGTAAAGAGGAGTAATTATAAAACAGACGTACCTACTATAACATACTCACATACTTAGGTAATACATGAAATTCTATCTGCATAAAAGCAGCTTGTTTTGGGAATAGATGGCGCTGGTACTATATGATATCGAAAGTTCCTTGGGGAAAGTTATACGGTTTCATATATCATATACACTAGATTTCGGATTATTACAGATTTATATTATAATCTATATAACTAGGTAATAAATTAGTGAATTGGCAACTAATCTATAAGTGGAGCACTAAAATACTCATTTTAAATTACATTAGATAAGATTATATTGACCTTGACCAAGCGACCTAATATACATATACAATTTAAGTCAGATAAGTTTAATACAATTATGTTTATCATTCAAATTATTCAAAATATGTACCCAAATTTGTCCCTGTCACCACAATTACACCAATTGTAACTTTTTAAATGTACGTAGTGTTCTCAATTAATTTTTTTTTATACAACTTAGAATGGCAAACAAGCTGACGGCCCACCTGATGGAAAGTGGTAACCGTCGCCTATAGACATGAGCAGTACCATGGACTTAATAGAGTATACTGTTTTGCCCATGATACCCCCCATGCGTTGCCATTCCTGAAGACTCAGGTGTTATTCCTCTGTACCCAGTAAATTCACGCCATATCCCAGCCTTCAAACCGAAACACAGCCATGCAAACACAACTGCTTCACGGTTGAAACACGAATGGGACAGAGGTACCCAAGCAATCGACTTTTGTACAAAGTCTCCCTCTGGTAATCATATCCCTGGTATATCTACATGTGACATGGACGTTAGACATAATTTTAGTCTTGCCTACGTTAATCTTCAGACCTACCTACTGAGAAGTACTATTGAGGTCTTAGAGCAAAGTATACAAGCCCTCCAGGAATATTGCGCCATGTTCCTTCAGTTCCGCTTTGATTATCATCTTTACCATCTCAGCCATTATTCGTCTGCTGCTGAACATAGGCCTCCCCCATAGACTGCCATAAAGAACGATCTTGAACCACCTGCATCCACTGGTTTCTTCCCCATCGGTTGTCGGTTCCATTGCCGCTTCAATTTGCTTATCCTTCGGGCTCTGTGAATGACTGGCTTGATTACCATATCGTCAGCAAATCACTTTGTACTTCTCGTAGATACAAGTACAAGTAATAACCGTAATTGTGTGTGTAAATATGCTCTTGACCAGTTTTCTTTATTCCATACCTACAGACGGATATAGTAGTACCTGCTTGTACCGTATGGCATGAATCATAATTAACTAGCATTATAATGCGATGTCGTCAATGTTCCGTGTCGTATGTTACGAACAGTAAACAAATAAAAAATTCAGGTATAGAATGTTTCAATAGAAATTAATGAAAATGTAAACAAATTAATAATTCATAGCCTGTTGATTAGCATTACAAGTTAAAAATCGATTAATTGATTTTATATTTCGATTTATTATTAATTTCTTTTCAACGTGTATGTGTAATAATTTCAATGAACCTTTAAAAATTAAGCGAAGTATGAGACATCGCAATAATACCAACGTTTATGATAGAACTCATATAGATACTTGTCTATTCTTTAAACCAGTGGGGTTACTCTTGAAATAAATTCTAATAGATCGACATTGGAATCATCCTTCTTATAATGATATTCAGACCTAGAAATCATGGAGATATCCATGCACGTAAATTTTCATTACTAATACTTTGGTGTCTTAACGAGTTAAAAAATCGTAACAACATTTGGCATAATTATTGAATTAATATAATATCCGGGAAGGAAAGGACCATACCCTACGACACCATATCATCCATTAACTGTCCACTGCTGAACATAGGCCTCCTCCTATTGAGAGATTTTGCCAGTACTTGCCACGCTTGGCAGGCGGCTGGCAACCGCAGTTAGGCTTTAGTAAGATTTTAAGTGGGACGCTACTGCCTTTTTCCTTGGCTATTGAGTTCCCTTAGTCGCCTCTTACGATACCCACAGGAATGGTGGCCCATTCTATGCCAGGCCACACGGCAAAAAGAAAAAGATATAGACTGTTATTTATCATGGTCAATCAACCGGTCACATGGACAAAGTCGCGGTTAAAAACTAGTTAAAAATGGTGAGATTACTTGCTCAATTAATATGCTATATGAAAAATAAGAATTGTTAAAATTAAAACACAGTTATTTTAATCATATTTAGGATTCAAAATTGTTATAATTTTTTTTTTTCAAAATTTATCATGTTTCAAATTATTATAACGGGAATCAGAAACAAAAGTAGAAAATATAGGTAACGTTATTGTTACAATTACTGTAATTCACAATAAGTACGTCATGTTTGCTGTTTACATGTTCAAATTAATATCTAATAAGTTTGATATAAACATGTTTTTGAACACTTATAGGTAGGTATATAATTGTATTTATTTTCAAATTATACTTTTGGCCGCTTAATGATTGAGATATGATAAATACATTATTGAATTAAATATTTTCTTCATGTATAAGAAAAATGTTTTACATTTATTTTTTATTTTTATTCCATCTTCAAAAAGAGAGTTATGCTTTGCAGGGATTTACACGACGTGTAGTGATGGGCAACGTGCCCATCACTACGTAATTCAGGTGCTTTGCGTGTTTAAGGTTCCATGTTCGATACCCAGTCGGGTTAATGTAGGAAACGGACTCTTAAATTCGCTTGGGTCTAGATGTTTGGATTTTTATTTTTTGGTTCCCTATAATATAGACTATCCTAATTTGAACGTCAGGTGATTTGTGCTATTTTGTGACTCCTACCCCATTTTCATAAGGGAGAAAGGGATTGTTAGATTTAACAGCCCCATTATTATCAGTACAGAGTATCATGTCAATTTTTTTTTATACAACTGAATGACAAACAAGCTGACGACCCATCTGATGGAAAATGGTAACCGTCGCCTATAGACATGAGCAGTCTATAACTGCTTTACGGTTGAAACACGAATGGGACAGAGGTACCCAAGCAAACGACTTTTGTACAAAATTTCCCCTGGAAATCATAGTGATTATTTTTTTTAATTGGTCACTATGGACCAATTGACCTGCATTCATCCTCACCTGTCACCCTTCACTAGTACCCCGCCAGCATATACCGATTGCGCAGGCCACCCATTAAAAAATAACCATATTAAAAAAAACTAAAACTGTCTACAAATCTTTAACTATTACACTGTTTCGTCACTTTCATTCAAATTGGAAATTAAGCAAAAAAGAAAGAAAGAAATCAGTTCAATATCTAAAATAGGTTTATGAGAGTTTTGATAAATAAGGAGGTTATTTTATTGCTATATATTTAAGTTAATGCTTGACAAGTTATTATAAGTATTAAGGTATCACTGAAAATAATATATACAATTTGCAGAGTGGCAGTGGTGCTGTCATCCAGCATCCAGGTGTTGTCAGTACCGTCGCTGCAGCGCATGGCTTTACTCCGCACGCCGTCGACCGTGAGGCCACTGTGCTCGCTCGCCTCCGACAACAACGCGTCGCAGTTGCTCGCTGCGCCCGCGCACAGGAAGGGCTCAGTGCAGCTGCTGGTCAGTTCTATATTGTATTATCCTATTAATATTATAAATGCAAAAGTTTATAAAGATGGATAAATGGATGTTAATTATTCTTTCACATAAAAACTACTGAACGGATTCGAATGAAATTTGGTACACGGGAAAATTATATTAGCACTATTATAGGATACTTTACGTCCCAAGTCATACGGGAGAAGCCGCAGAATACAACTAGTTCAAAATAAATATTATTTAAGCGCTTATACAAAAACGTAATACTTATATTTAATGGTCGAAGGATGAACAGCAACGCTCATCTTAAAAGCCTAACTGCAATTTGGTTTTGGTGTCTTTGAATCTTTTAAGATTATTTAATTGATTTACAAATGCCGAATTTTAAAAAGTGATGTAATAACATTTTTCTACTACATCCACTTCTCTGCCAACACGGGATATTATTGCCATCATCTCATTCGGCTCCTTGTTCTCTACCATTTCACTTTTTTACTTCTACAGGACGTGTCACGTGCAGTAAAAGGCGCTCAGTCGAGCTCGCCAGCGGTAGTGGGGTGCCACCAGACCAATCTAGTCTGTCTCAGTCTGTCGGCAAACGGCACTAAGTTAGCCACCGCGTCGGCGAGAGGCACCATTATACGGCTATGGGATACCGCCTCTAAACGGATGCTGCACGAACTGCGACGAGGGTCCGATTACGCGGATGTATATTGGTGAGCTTTTTTTTTATAATATGATACTCAAAATGGGAAAAAAGGGGGCGACCCACTGATAAACCTGAACAGCACCATGGACAATACAGAAACTGCTGTGATACTTATGGTACCCGTCACGTATTACCATTCCAGACTATAGGATAAAATTATACTTATGCATGGTTGTAGCTGGGGAGAGGGGGCATTGGGTGGAATGCCTTACCTTAAAATGAAAGGCTCCTACAAAATTTGATAGATTCGATAGAAATGAGTAAGTAGTATGGAATGAAAAGATGTATACAATTAAACAAATTTATTAAATACACATTGGACTTTTCAAACAAACAAATATTCACTTTTAACTTGCACTGGCTACTGGCAATATAGAATAATAATATAATAATAAGAAAGTTAATGTGAACATTATGTTTTTAAATATTTAATTTTATACACATAACTTTAATTGTGGTTCTCACGATTCAACTTTACCACAGGCCCATTAAGAAGTTAGTATTTAACGGTTATTTATGCATTCTTTTTGAAGAATTCAATACCGTAATCTACTTTGGCAGGGAGTTCATTCCACAGTTAGAGCGGTCTTGGATGGATACTCCAAAATCGCATTGTACGTGACCGTTTAGATTTTCTGGTACGAAAATGAAATTGCCTATCTACAGCAGCAGTAGCAGTGTAATGATAAAAGGTGCCCTTGGGTATCATCTCGATACCAATAAAATCTCTTTTTTTTTATACAACTTAGAATAGCATACAAGCTTGATGGAAAGTGGTAACCGTCGCCTCATGAGCTCGGACATACCAATAAAATATATGGCTTAAAGGCTGAGTTTCAGTTTAAAGGTTGGAACATGGCAGTGAATTTACAGGGTACAGAGGCATAACATCTTAATCCTCAGAAATGGCAACGCAATAAGGCCATTATGGGCGAAACATTTTACTATGTTATGTTTATGGTACTGTTTAAGTTTAGACGACGCAAAATTACCACTTTCCATCAGATTGGCCGCCAGCTTGTTTGTCATTCTAAGTTGCATAGAAAAAATCTCGAACATAAAACACAATCTGTTCAATTTGCCGTAAGTGATGAAGTCTGTTTGAAAAGAATATATTTAAAAATATTTAATGACAAAGTAACAGTTTCGTTGAAATTATTATAAAAACATCCTGTATATGAAATTGTTTCGATTTGTTAAATCGAAACATGCAATCAATTAATCTATTTTCATGATCGTGAAACACTCTTGTTTCGTGGTCATTGGTACATTTGGTATGATGTAGTACATTTTTTATTAAGCTTTTTTGAAACAGACTCCACAGATAGGTGTTTTTGAACGTTATATTAGAGGCAACTTGACGATGAAGTTCGTATGCCATTCTCCAGTATAAACTTCAACCCGTCGGCGTCGCTGGTGAGCTGCGTGTCGGACAAGGGCACGGTGCACGTGTGGACGGCGCGCGGCGCGTACGCACACGTGGCGGCGGCCGCGGCCGCGCCCGGCTCCGCTGTGCACGCGCCGCACGCGCGCGCCCTCTGCGCCTTCGTAGACGACAACAACGCCGTCGGTGAGTCCTACCTCTTATTCTTATAGTGAATAACAGTGGAATGCTAACTCCGCCTGTATTATTGATATACGCTAATAAGGCATCAGTTTTTTTTTATAATTAAATACATAACAATATATTTATTTATGTATCCACATGAGGTATTTAGGATAAGCATACATACATCCTTAATATGATATTTTATGAATGATAATGTTATGGTAATCACGCCAGCGCTGACGGTATATCCTGATGTGGCACCAGTAAGGGATAATAGGTGAGAATAAAAAGACAGGTCAATTAGCCCATCGTGATTCTTAAATCATATCTAGAATTCAGTACAATAGTTTCCAGGGGAGACCATGTTGACCTGACAGAGTATATTGCTAGTAATAGGATTGGTAGTCCGCATTACTAACAATTTCCTTCCCTCTTAGGGCACCAGTTAGGGGTAATAGGTGAGGATGAAAACAGGATATTTAACCTACCGATATGAATTCATCAAGAATCATCAAAAATCGCGTGGTGGTTGATCAGAGTATATTGCTAGCAAGAGAGCTGCTACTTCACATTAGTAACAATCTATTTCCTCGTAATCGTATCCTTAGATTATGTTGCTTACACACTGACAGCTTTGTTTTTTACTTTTACATATTATTTTAAATTTTATTCTTCAAATATTTTAGTAACGACAGATTAAATAAATAAAGTGTCTTTACAAATACTTCATCTTAATCTAATCATAATATATATTTTTTATGTACCTTAAAATGGCAAACACAAGCTTATCGTTACTTGTAAACCCATGATGTCCTTCATGCATTTGCATTCTTGAAGCCTAAAGTGTTAAGGTAAAGATTAGTCTAGACCTCTTTTAGTAACTCCATTTTCTTTTAGATTGTTATATCTATATTAACAATAACGATTATCATATGTTTCCAGTAATATGCGAGGATGGAACCTTCCACAAATTCACGTTCTCTGCTGAGGGGAACTGCCATCGAAGTGATTTTGAATATTTCTTGCAGGTTAGTTTTATTTTTATTCTACTACTATTAAAAGTGTAAAAGTTCATGTCATTCACATGATGACTCGGATGAATGGATGATTGTTACTCTTTCACGGAAACTAAAAAACTGATAGTGAAATTTGTTACATAGATAAGTTATATTCTAACCTTAGATTATATAGATAGAGTCTTAAAAACTGGTAAACTTTTTGTCTACTATATAATTGTCAAATTAGCTGACTCGTTTTTTATGAGTGTTTTAACCGATTTCAAAACACGACGTTCTCAATACAGTTGTATTTTTTTATGTTTGTTACCTCACATCTTAGTGAGTTGTAAACCGATTTGGAAAGTTCTTTTTTATTTCCAAGGATTTACTTAGAGATTGGTCCCATAGAAATTTTATGAAAATCGGTTCAGTAGTTTAGTTTGCAAATTATAATTACTGAAAGTTGGTATTTTTTGTGGAACATAATCTTTATTATTTTACTAGGAATTGGTATTCTGGTTTCTCATAACACAGGATGGACTAGCTTGAGGCTCGAGATAATTTTTCTAATTGTGTTGCACTTTGTTCAGCATAACAACTCATTACAATCTTACTACTAGATATTCTCTATTATTATATTAGAGGAAAACAATAGCCTACTATTGCTATACTAATTAAACTTAAATAGACTTAATTAAAATAAATACTTAACTATAATAATCTAATTCCAAACTATATATATACTATATTTTTGTACTAGACTTTTAATAGTAATACTAACTTTTTTTGTAAACGCCTTGGACGTATGGCGACCATATAGGTAACGTCATCAGCACCGTCATACCAGCCTTTAACTGTCAACTAATGAACATAAGCCTCCCCCTTGGGGGGAGTTTTGCCAGTAGTTGCCACGCTTGACAGGCGATCTGGCAACCGCAGTCAGGCTTTCTAGATATTTTAAACTTAATAGGTAACGTGCTGAAAGTCAAATTGAAAGTAGCCGTACCCGGCGAGAGTATATGAATAGATTGATAAATGGAATTAAAAAAAAAACAATTGGGCATACCATTATTTCTGCCTATCCCGGTGAAAGTTAGGTGTGCCTGATATCTATGTATATACTTATAATTACACTTATAAAACCCAAATCAATACAATACAATCGATTGCTTGGGTACCTTTTACAGGGTACAGAGGAATAACATCTGAGTCCTCAGGAATGGCAACGCATGGGGGGTATCATGGGCGAAAGAGGACACTGTTATATCCATGGTACTGTTCATGTCTATAGGCGCCGGTTACTACTTTCCATCAGGTGGGCCGTCAGCTTGTTTGCCATTCTAAGTTGTATAAAAAAAAGTAGGGATTAAACCTGTGACCATCGACGGTGAAGAGGCGTGTCATAATTCAAGTCTTGTTTTTTCATACACTGATGTATAATACTTTCTGTTCGCCTAGTCGCCTCTTACGATACATTACAAAGGAAAAAGAATAGTAACACGATTTAATTATGCGTTTTATATTTTTCAGGTGGGAGAGGACGACGAATTTCTGCAATGATAATTTTTTTTTTAATATTAATTGACTTTTGCTTGATGATCCGTAAGTGATAAATCGAAGTGACTACGCAGTATCCATAGAAGCAATCCTACTATTTCATATCGTGATAATTTCCTATTTTATGCTATATGGTACCATGTGAAATGCTGTGTGTAATAGTTTAACCAATATTTACTCAAACTTTACATAATCACCAGTTAAACATATATTTGCATGTGGTCTCACGCGTATTTGTAATTCCTTAGTGTTATTTTTTTTTTATTTAATTGTCAATTTGTGATATATCTATTACGAAGTTAATAGCAATTTACCATTTTGTCTGTTATAAAAATATACATAAATAATTATTTTACTTTTGTAACATGTATAGATTTGTTTATTTAAATATATATTAAATCGTAGTAGTATTTAATGGCGATCGATAACGTAGTTTTTGTCCATATAACTTTTATTATTAAATTAAAAATCTTCGGATGAAAATACGCTTATTCGGTCTCAAATATTTCCTTATTCACGTCTCTATGTGTTCACTTTATGTTTTACAATTATATCGCGTGATTTACAATATCGTGCAATTTTTCTCTGTCTCTGATAATTTTTAAGTTTATAGATTAAAATCGTAGGTAATAAATACTGACAAAGTTTATCATTTAAGGTGGACATGTTTTTACAATAAAACATTATGCTTAAGGGCTAAAATTATTCGTAATTGTAAAAAGACAAATGGTACTAAATTGCATTTTTATTTTATATTTGGAAATAAGGTGAATGTGTGGACAGCTGAATTTATATATTTATAATCTGAAATGTCTAATTAAGTCATATTAAATGTAACCGAATGTTGAACAAAGTATCTTTCCTTTTGTGAATTTGATACAAATTATACTTTATTGCATTTGGTTGCATTGTAGAATTTTATTTAGAGTAATTGACTGAATGATTATTGGCGGTATTTTAGTATGACGACGACGAAGTAGTTTATGCTAAGAGATCACACAGATATTGTAATATATGTATGCAATGTTAATATCTGATATATTAGCTTCTTAATTTTATATGCGCCCAAATTGCAGCTTCGCGCAACTATATTAAGTATTGTGTACCTTTGATGTTTCTGTTGTGTATGTAACTATATGTTTTTTTTATATTAATATTAAATGATAATGATAAATCAATCTATAACACTTTATGCTCTTATTATTCTAAATCATACTTAATCTATTATAATTGGTACGAAAGAAATCGTTTTATAATTTTAGACTTATTATCTTTTCATATACTTAATTCAAATAGCATTTTTTTTTATTTCATCGCTCAATTATACCTTATTGCATTTGCTCATTCTAGGAATGTAATTTGGTAAATTCATCTAGCTTTAATTAAAAAAAGAAACTTCACAAATTTTTATTTTCAAATTAATGTAGATAATATATTATTATGCTGTTTTAATAGTCATACATTTGACTGAGAGAAAATAGGATAAATATTTAGGGTTTCATATTGTGTTATACATTTACATCACAACACATGTTCAACCCCATTATGTAAAATTAAATGTAAAGTTTTATGTGTAATTATGTAAATATTTTATAGTGACATATAGTTTTTATACTTTCAATAGATGAATAGACATAAAATAATAATGTATGTATCAGCTACGCTATTTTAATAATTCAGAACACGTAAACTGTAATAATTTGTAGTCGATGAAAAAAAACAAAGTGCACACTGAAATGTAAATAGGTTTCAGAAGTCAGATTATTTTTTTATGGTATTACGGAAATTGGGGAGATATTAGTGGTCTCCTAGTATCATCGGTTACTGATGATATTGTATCAATATTAAACTTTCAAAATAAACATTTTTATTATATGATTGACTTATTTTTTACCCTAAAATTATTGGATACACCATCAGGAAGACTCATTCATTGCAATGAAAACAAATAACGACCCACTTAGTAACCATCTCCTATTGATATGGACATTACAGATATACTGTGCCACCCATAATACCCTTTATACATTGCCATTCTTGAGAACTAAGGAGTTATAGTTCCATAGCCTGCCTAATTACATTGCCATATTCCACCCTTTAAACCACGGCACAGCCGTACAAACAATACTGCTTCATGGCCGAAACACGAATGGGAAAGAGGTACCCAAGCAAACGACTTTTTTATAAAATCTCTCTGGTAATTAATATACAACTAAATTTGTACATTCTTAAGAGAAATAAATATACATTATTCATGAGCAAAGATGTAGGTAACAGCTAGTGGTAGAATTCTCTTTTTTATTTTATATGACTAAAAATGACAAGTCATTTACCTAAATGTGTTAGAATTCCTAGCTTGTATGTTTGCTTGTTAGCAAAGGCCTCCCCTAACTGCCTCCAATGGCAGTATAATAAATACAATCCTCCAAATCTCTATTCTTGTTTATATTCCACCTGCTTCAGCCCAAATGTCATCTACCCATCTTCTATGTGGTCTTTCTCTTCTTTTTTTCTTGTCTTTTGTGTACCAAAACTGAATAAGGTTCTATTCAAAAGGAAAATTGTTTAATTATCTGTTGAATCAAGAAATTCAACAAAATATTGAGATAAATCTATTTAACTATTAACTAGTATGTAGGTAAATGATTCAACATATACCTATTTTATCAATATTATTAATTGAACTTAGCAAAGTTAAATTAATAATATATATAAAATAAGTATATTATGTAATACATGTTCATCACCATTACCCTCAAACACTGTTTTACCTAATGACCAACTAACAGAGAATACCATATAGCATTAAGCTCGCCTTTTGTACAACAAATTTTATTGTGCAATGAAGAATAAATATTATAAATAAACATTCATACAGAATTAATAATTATCTCATTAATTATATTACATTTAGACATCTATTTGTGTATTTACATTTGCCAGGGTGTGGTGCCTTAAAAAATACAATTACATATTGTTAGATACATCTTTGGTTTTAGCTCAAAGCTCTGCTAAAATCCTGGAGTGAGTACCAGACAAAGTACACTCCCTTTATATTTAATTCTAATTTTCACACATTGTTTTTATTTTTCTTTGCTTTTACATAATAATCTACACACAAACAATTAGTCAATAAATAAATTATATAGAGTAAATTCATGAGTAGGTTATAAAAAAATGTCCTTTACTAATAATATCAAAAAAATATTTATTTATATATTTAAAAATAATAACTAACATTGAAAACTAAGTATTACCTACATAATATTTACAATATTCATCCATTTGTTTCAGGCTTCTTTCGGTCAAATGGATCTGTCCACACTTTCATATCTGAAATAAAGATTTTATTATCAATTCAGCAGAGTTTCATATGACCATATGCATATAATTGTTTTAAATATTAAAATATTGTAAGAACTCACTCCCAGGCTGAATCTGTTCTCTGTTTATATTTTTTCTTGTTTCTTTTTGAATTTCCTCTGAAATCATACAAATATATTTTTATTAAATAATTATTAACAGATAATTATTGAAACCATTATGAATTTCTGATTGTGCATTTTCAGTGTTAGATTTTCGTTTACTGTTACTATAAATAAAGCTGTAGCCAAAAAAGTTAAAATATGTAAATTATAATAAATAAAAAGTACTTACTATAATGCGAAGGATCTAACATTGGACTTATTATTATGGGATAAAGCGTAAGTCCAATAAAACCAACAAATCCGCTAATGAATGCGGCATATCGCCAACCCTTGAAATATGCCATTATTAATGATATATACAATTTAATTCTAACTGTAGATTCATTTAATATTTTTAAACTAGAATGATTATGTTAGAAAAATAATTTCTTCAAATCAAATAAAAGACATATGAGAAGACGTAGGACATCAAAATTGACGTCTCCTGTCATAAACAGTTGACATTTAATATGTTAATACTGATAATGCCTAGGTATTAGACCTCATGTAGATTAATAGAATAATTGATTATCGCGTACAGAACACGATTTTTTATGTTTGATGTACAACTTCAGTTTGTTTCTATGAATCGATATTTTACCCTTTTATTTGTGAAAATTTAAAATTGTGAAATAAATAAAAATATATATATATAAACGATATAGTTGTAGGTTAATAAGAATAATAAAATATTGATTTTTACGGTGTCTGTTTTTTCCGTTTATTATTATTATATCAATCGTTAATCGTCCACTACTAAACATAGTCTCTCATAAAAAAGCCTGTAGTTGTCATGCTTCGCAGATGGATTGACCACCGCAATTAGGTTTAGAAAATATTTTAAGAGGGACTCTGCTGTCCATCCCTTGACCATTAAGGTAGTCGCCTCTTAAGACACGCACGGGAAAAGAAGGGGTGACTCATTCTATACCCAAATCAAAGGACCACCTATTTATATTTTCCATAATTGGATTTAAATTCATATTAAAAATACAAGCTCGAAAATATCAAATTTTGAGAAATTGTTTCATATACCAATTTTTTGTGAATTGGATTATAATTAAAACAATTCAAAAATTAATCTTTTCTGAAATAACAACCAGAATAAGAAAATAGAAAACCTAAAATAATTAGAAATTAACTCATATGAATTACTATATATGTATCTTTGTTCTAAACAAAGAAAATTAACCTTTTAATTTCCACAGTTTTATTTATAGTAAAACTTACATTTACTCCTTGTTCTTAACTAAAGATTTTTGTTCTTAGGAATTTAGTGTAAAAGAAAGAAACAACTGCATAAATCTATTTTTTAGAGGGGGGGGGGAAGGGATTGTTAGTAATGGAGACTGAGAATCCCATTGCTAGCAATATACCCAACCAGGTCGACCTCCTCGCGATTCCCTCTGGAAACTATCGTGTTAATTCCTGATGAATTCATCATGACGGGCTAACTGGCCTGTTTTCATTCTCATCTATCACCCGTCACTGGTGCTCCACCAGCGTATCCCTTCAGCGCAGGCGGAGTTACGATTCCATTTTCACCCATCAAAAAAAATCTATTTTATCTGCTGAACATAGTTAAAATAGGTTTATAATTATTATGAATAATGGTTTAACATGATTATGAATAAGAGATTATACCTTTTTTGGTGAGAGATCTTGTGAGACTTTATACAAAAATCATTAAGGTGCTTTTATACTACTTGTATTTACGGCTTAAATCAGTTATGGTTACAAAATGTATTTGTGTTTGAAGGTGGGATAATGGGCGGTCCAATAACAGGGACGGAAACACAATATCTAATCAATCAATCTGGGTCTTCTTGCCCGCCTTTAGTAGTGTAGGCGGGTGAGGTAGGTGTCTCGGGGTAAACCCCTTTACCCCGGCTGCATCTCCGGAGGCAACTACCTCCGGGTCGCTGGGTTCTTGAGCCGGCATACACTGGTGGTCTGTGTATGCCGGCGTGGCACAATATCTTAGTCCTATCATGTCGACTTCCACCCGGTCCCTTGATAACCAGCGTTGTTGCATCCTAGTTAGAGATGTATTTGCTTGTAGGTACATAGTTACCTCTTGGTTCGTAAACACATGATAAGTTTAGCGCATTAGATAAACCGACCTAGAATGTTAAACTTACTCCAGATAACATAATTTCTTTAATCATTTTCTTTTGTCACCAAAGCATTATATATATATATATATATTTTTTTTTTTTTTTGGGTGATAATGGAATGGTAAACCCGCCTGCGCTAACGGGATACGCTGGCGGAGCACCAGTGAATGGTGATCGATGAGAATGAAAACAGGCCAGTTAGCCCATCATGATGAATTCATCAGGAATTAACCATGATAGTTTCCAGGGGGAACCACAAGGAGGTCGACCTGGTTGGGTGTATTGCTAGCAATGAGATTTTTAGTTTCCATTACTATGAATCCCTTTCCCCCCAAAGCATTAAATTGATTCTTTTAAATTCAATATTTAGGTACCTAACTACATTATAGAGGTATGGTACTTATTTAAAAAAAATTGAATACCTAGTATAAAACAAAATTTATGTCCACGTGTGTCTATTTATCTACTTAGGTACTTCTTGGTTTAATAGAAATTTAAATTCATTACGTAATTGGCTATACAAAGAGTTTAAAATACTTTGATTGATTCTGTTTGGTGTCACAATTTCTGTTAAGTTGAAAAACTACGTCGCATACCCTACTTAGCCTAGTAGGCCAGTTGAAATTTTAGTATTCAGATAAATAATATCGCTCCAACTAAAGGAACTTACAATATATAGATAATATTCTGTATTTTCTAAGCTTGATATTTTTTTTCTAATGGGTGATAATGGAATAGTAACCCCGCTCGCGCCATTGGTATACGCTGGCGGGGCACCAGTGAGGGATGATTGGTGACGATGAAAGCAGGTCAGTAAGCACATCGTGACGAATTCCACTAGAACTAACCACGATGGTTCCCAGAGGGAGCCACGTGGAGGTCAACCTGATAGGGTGTATTGGCAATGGGTCAGTTTGACTCCATTACTAACAAACAATCCCCCCCCCCCCCAATCTTGATATTAGCATAATCATCGGAATGCCTATGGAGTCATAATATTTTTAATATTAAAAAGGAATAAAAAAAAAACCTCTAAAAAGGATAATATTTTTTACAACCATTTCCATTTGTATATGTATAGATAGAGATCCGAAACTATCTAAGTTTAAAATCGGAGATATAGCGCTGTGATATACAAACGGATAAACGAAGCAACGCTATAAGAGTTCCTTAGTACTATTTAGCGTGGAACCCTATAGATAACGGTAGTAAAAAAAAAAAATTAAAATTGTCTGAAATAATAATAATTTTGAAAGGACTCATTTTAGTAACATAGATGTTGTAGGTACAGTTACATCAATAATATTTACATTAGTACCTATCGAAGTTAGAAGTTTATCAATTGTGACAGTTCAAAAGGGCATATAATGCGTAATAATTGTTGAATGATTCATTAAATGATGATATACATAAAGAAAAGTGTTGTAATGAAATATTTCATTCAATATACTAAGTGTCGTTTTTTAGGATTCCGTACCAAAAAAGGTACAAAGGAATCCTTATGGTGCGACTTTATCCGTCCGTCCGTTCTTCTGTCCGTTCGTCTGTAATAGGTTACTATCTCAGCAACTAGTAATGATTTAATTTTTTTTTAATACAACTTAGAATGGCAAACAAGCTGATGGCCCACCTGATGGAAAGTGGTAACCGTCGTCTATAGACATGAGCAGTGCCATGGACATAACAGAGTATACTGTTTCGCCCATGATACCCCCCATGCGTTGCCATTCCTGAGGACTCAGCTGTTATTCCTCTGTACCCTGTAAATTCACGCCATATCGCACCCTTCAAACCGACACAGCCATGCAAACACAACTGCTTCACGATAGAAACATGAATGGGACAGAGGTACCCAAGCAATCGATATTTTATTACTAGATGGCTATTTCATATTAAAAAGGGGATAAGGGCCTTTTTATGTTATATATATTTATATACAGAACCCTCGGCGTGTGAGTTGAACTTTCACCTACCGACACACTTTTCAGTAATGGAAAACGTCGTTATAGATATCAAACTTTAATTTTAAACCCAGCCTTAAAGTATTTATAAGAGATAATTTTATGTAAATAGATAATTTAAGATGTATTTAAAAATATAGTTTTCAAATCTGCCAATAACATAAGGCTAATACGGAATTAAACTATCCAATATGAAAAGATTTATCAAAAATAGTTTACAATTGATAAAGACAAAGCACAATCTAATATTTAATACATAAGAAGGGAGAAAGGGATTGTTAATAATGGGGAGGTTAGTTCTTATTCCTATCAATATACACTATCAGGCCGACCTCCACGCGGTTCTCCCTGGAAACTATCGTGACTAATTTATCGTTGAATTCGTCACGATGGGCTAACTGACCTGCCTTTTCATCCACACCTATCACCTCTAACTGGTACCCTGCCAGTCTATACCGAAAGCGCAGGCAGGAAATAATAATAAATAAAAAAAGAAATAAACTTATCCTACAAATTTTACTAATATAATAAAGTTGTTTTTTTATTTATTTTTTTACTTATTTATTAAGTTTTTTTTTTATATCTACACTATACACAGGTAAATAAATAATTCTAATGCAATAGTTAACTATCTTAACGTTATGTTAGTATAAATATAACAATATATACATGTGGATGTGTGTGTACATTCACATTTATATATGAACTATTGTAGCTAATTACATAAAGAGCTATCTTAGTAAGTTTATTCAAAGAATAGTTTAATAGATCAATTGTATCTGCTAGATGATTCAGCGTGCGCAGACCTCTTGTGAGCGGCGCCTTACCTAGCAGGTTAATGCTACCGCCCGGCACTGTCAGCAGATGCAGCCGGCGGCGACGCCACATATATCCTTTCGGGATACAGAAGTTTTAACTAAATGATGTCTTTACATAGGACATATTTAAGAAAAATCAATATAAGGCTTTAATCTAAGAGACTCCAAAAAAAAAAAAATTTTTTTAGAAATTTTGTCTATAACTTTGTATGTTTCTACATCATACAGAAATGAATGCACTATTGCGGATCGAATATATGTGACAAAAATTCACACTGAATGCGATTTTCACAGTTGTTTCCTGAAAGTCTAATTTCAAATTTGGTATATATTTTATCTTGATACGCCATCTAGAAGTAATTTATATTTTATTATTAGTTTTCCTACTTCTATAATTCACTGGTACAAAGTAAAGCGTGCAAAAAGCCAGTGTCAAAATAAATACGAACACGAATATAAACGATTGATTGCAAATAGAATTATTAATATCTAATTAGAATTTATAAAGATGTCGCGTAACATACAAAAAATACTGGCATATTGAAAATTGATATCCATTTGATGTCGATTAACGAGTTCGATTACTCGCAAATATATGCTTAACTAGAGCGGTATATTTTAAAAAAGAGACTACCTATATATTAAAAAAAAAAGTCAATTGTACAGACAGGTATATTCGAATAAATAAAAATTACAATATCAATTAGAAAAGTTTACTTTCATAAATGTTTACAAACTAAACAATAGAATATCATTGGTATATGCTAGGAACAAATGTATATTATAATAAGCGTAAACACAATCGTAAACGTAACATAACATTGTTATGACTCGAATTGATAATAAAACTAAACTCGCTAAAAATATTTAAGACGCTAGTTACATATTTTATTTTTTGTCAATTAAAATAATTACACGACATGTAATAATTTTAATTGGCTAAGAGATTTCAGTTACCATTCTTAACTCGTTGGTATCAATATCCTGATTGTAATTAGTCCTACTGACACCTTCTTCTAACAACTCCAATAATTTATCGTAAACTAGTTTTGGAGCGTCTACGGCCCACAGAAAATCGATGTGATTAAATTCTTTCAATGGCACTATATAATGTTCAATTGGATTAGCTATTTGCACGTATAGATTTGTTACATCTACGTCGCTGGATAACCAGTCATTTTGGGCACTAAATAAAGCTATAGGCAGAGTTATTTTATGCACTGGGTATTCAGGCGGCAGAGGAGTACCGTACTGCTTCATGTTTCCATCAAGACCAAAATCAAATTGCTGAAAACGACCGTTTTTGCGAATCTCTTGAGCGTAGTGAACCAGCGTCCTAGTCGATGCTCCAGCCGGAACATGACCTAGTAGTATAGGCAACAAAGACTTATTGAATTGCCTCTCATCATGACCGCAAAGTACAAACAAGGAGTTCTCACATATCGCTTCTTCATAATGATTTATTTCACATGCATGTTTTGATAACCATCTAAGCACAGAGTTTTGCGGTAAAAACTCATTAGCTCCGAGTAGTTTCATTAGGTATTCAATATTATCACTAAACTTTGCTAGTAGTCTTATCGGACTTTTTATGTCCGACATATAGGCAACAGGCGCTAAAGCAAAGCCAGCCCTTAAAATTTTATTGTATTGAGTCTTTGTAGATAAGAGAGCGAACAGGACAGTAGTCCCCATTGAATGGCCTATGTAATTTATTTTTACGTCCCACCCTTTTAGCTCCATTATGTAATCGATAACCGCTGGTAAGTCGTGTTGACTCACATCATGGAATGTGAAATTCCAAAACTCAAAAGTATCAACATTTCTAGATATGTGTGCTCTGGAGTAAGTATTGCCTCTGACATTAGCCATCCAGACATCATAACCAGCTTCAGATAAAATGTATGCGAGTCCTTTATCTGGTCCAGCAATTATCCAATCAGCAGAGCTGCCAAGTAACCCATGATGAAGTAGAACAGTCTTTCGTGGGCTCATTTTATTTGACGAATTTTTGGAGAAAGGTATCCTATGAATTGTGAGGATATATCCATCATCAGTCATAACCGTATGTGACTCTGCAGGATAACCATGAAGAGCTAATATTTGTGGCGTAGTCATATGTATAGCCGGATCATCATTGGAACAACTATACTCAACTTTTTGAGGGGCAATTGAATCAAAAATTTTATTTTCCTTTAATTCAGCTTCAGCTATGTAGTTTTTAAATTTTCTTTTAATTCTTGTTTGTTTATCTTCCATTCCTGGCGGATCGATGTCGTTATCTGTCCCAAAATAAGTTGTTATCTTGTTCCGTACATTTTCTACGTAGAAATTTTTGATGCTCCTTCCTTTATCTCTCACGTAATTTGTGATTTGTGATGTTTTATTTGTGACTGCATCTACTAGTCTGTTTGGCAACCAGGAGACATAGCGTGAATCGCTGCATTGCAATAATACAAATAATGTAAACACGAGCAGTGACAACTTCATATTGTTTACTCGAACGCGGAGCCCGGGATACTGCCGTGACGATGTGTCGTGCACTAACAACTGAACTGATTATTGAAGTTAGCATGTAATTTATTCTATGCGAGAGGTCAAGGGGAGATAATGATTCATTTGTGATACAAATACGTTCGTATCATAGTTTACAAATATGCTATAAAACAAGTAAGTACATAAACAAAGTTAGCTAGTGATTCATTCAAAAATAATAATAGTATTTTGAATACTAAACAACAAGATCACTGTTATTAATTTTAGTGATTCTAATAAAACAATAACTTGGTATGTTTTAAACCTATTTATTACGATTATAACCTCTATATGCTAATTTGTGAATAAATTTAAGTATCTACCTACCTACTTACATATCTTTATTTTAGGTTATACCTAGATAATTTAAATAGGTGGATAAATAGATAAAACAATTAATGCTACGAATTTTCATTCAGAATTTCAGAACATTAGATGAAATTTCAAAATATTAATAAATTACCATTTTTTTAATTACTATCTGTAATTTTTAGTCTGTGTCTGTGTTAATAAAATCCGTAGGTTTTTAATTCTTTCTCTACTATAAAATTTCTTTTTGACCGTATATTAATATATTTGCTTGTTCTTTATAAATTTTTACAGAAAAGTGTAGAATTAACTTTTACCAATATAAAATAAAATTTACAGATATCTTCAATGTGACTTTAATAAATAATCTATTAAATAATTAATTTGAAACATTTTTTCAAGGTGTCACCCCAGAATTGTTAGAATAAGGAAGCATCATAAATAAAAATATAAAGAACCACCCTAGAACAAGGAGCATTGGGGTTTTTGGACCCTATTACTAACAGTCCCTTTCCCCCACTAAACATGGGTAGGTAGTTATTTTTATGTAGATGGCGCACCGAAAGTTAAAAAAAAAAACAATAAAAATATGGAAATAAAACTAGCTTATTTAGCATATTGGTCATATTCAGGGTTTATGAATGCAGGGTTACTTATTTTAAAACATTTTCAAAGATTATATATTCCGAAAAATGTGTAATTTTTTAAAATTGAACCGGTCAAGTGTAAATAGGGCTCTCACGCCGTAGTTACGTACATAAATACATAATCTTTTAACACCTATTGTCTTCACTGATTTTAATAAAATAAAATAAAATTAAAGGTATAATATTCTAACCATCATCTAATCATGATTATTATTAACAACATATTTAAGTTTTGAATAAAAAAAATATGCGATAAAAAAAGGTAGTATTAAAATGTAAAAATACGTACAGTCCATTCATATGGATAACCCAGTTCAACTAATAAGTTTAAAGAATATACTGCAAAAAACAATTACTTTAAAAAATAGAAGTGGCGCTATGATAGACGGATGTACAGACTACGAATATATATACCATAAGGGTTTCCATAAACAGGGGGGGAAAGGAATTATTAGTAATGGGGTTTCCATTACATAACAGCTTTTTTTTAATGGATGATAATGGAATGATAATCTCGCCTGCGCTAACAGTATACACTGGCTGGGCATCAGTAAGGGATAATTGGTGAAGATGAAAAGGCAGGTCAGTTAGCCTATCGATAAGTTAATCAAGATGGTTTCCATGGGGAACCGCGTGGAGGTCGACCTTCCCATCACTAACAATCCCTTTCCCTCAGCTCCCTTACTAGCAATATACACTATCAAATTGACCTCCACGTGATTCTCCCTAGTAACTATATTGGTTAATTCTTGAATTTATCACGATGGTCTAACTGACCTGCATTCAATCTCACCTATCATTCACTGATGCCCCATCAGTGTATACCAACATTGCAGCGAGGCTTCTATTTTGTTTTCACTAATTAAAACCCTTAAAAAAACAATTTAAATATTCTATTATTGATTTTGAGCACAACCTGTAATAAAATAATGATGACTAAATTGATTCAGACGGCATGTTTACAAATAACTATATACGTAGATAGTTGGCAACTTACCTACAACATTGTGGTTCACAATTTGCTAAAAGTTCAAAGTCTTAAAGCAATGAATCATTTTTTACATTAGATACTTACATTTACGTACCCCTTATTTTGAGGTTTTATTTAAGTTATTTTTAAAGATAGAATTTATTCATTTTTCTTGTTATTTCAATGTGTATTTTGTTTTATTAGAGAAACGTCATTACTTTTGAAACATCTATTTTTGTACTAGGGAACAACAACAATATTATATATCTTTATTCAGTATCTTATATTTTTTATTGTTTTATCCAACGAACCCTTCACACCTTATATTATTATTAGAAACACTGAAATCATAGTAATCTTCATTTTATTATTTTAATATATAAAATTCTCGTGTCACGGTGTTTGTTACCAAACTCCTCCGAAACGGCTTTACCGATACTTATGAAATTTTGTGTGCATATTGGGTAGGTCTGAGAATCGGCCAAGATCTATTTTTCATACCCGTCAATGATAAGGGTGAAACCCACCCCAAAATATTTTTTTTTTATTTTATTGACATTTTTTTTTATTTTTATTTTATTATAACTAAGCATTGAAAAATACATATAACTTAAAATTTTCATCGTTTTACGATCAACTCCTATATTTTAATTGCGATTTTTATATTTCGCAATAAGTGATAAAACAACGTTTACGGGGTCAGCTAGTTTTATATCAAATTAGTCTCTTGAATTAGATTTAATAAATCTTTTATATGTATCTACGAAGTCTACGATCATGTACGGTCTATACATGATCTTAGAGTTCATGAAATATAAGACATTATAGATGCCCTAGATACTTAAAATGACAAACTGACAAAACCTCTATAGACCTCTACACATGAAGATAACAATAGACATCACAAAATTCACTGTGATATTAACGGGCTGACTACATTAAAACTTGGGCGACATTTGTTGTTAATCTTTATTTTTGACATACTTAAGCGTCTGGAGACATCCGAATAAAGTCCAAACAATTACCTATCGGAAACGAGAAACATAGTAAGTTTGTAAATTTCTCGTCGTACATGTATATATAAATAATGTGTTCATTTTATATACACCTTAGCGATACGAGACTTTACTAATCCGACTACAAATTATTCAACAGAACAATTCATTCTAATTATTTAAATGATTTACAAATCATTCGAACACTAATTGTATTTATTCGAATACTAACGTCTTTCGACTACTAATGTTGTTCTACGATTTATATCACTCGACTACTAATTTCATTCGCTAGTAGTATTTATTGACGTATGAGAAGGTCCTTTTCTAAGAACGAGGAATTACATAGAAGGAATGATAAAATTAAAACTGTAAATCATATGGTTGCCTCCTTTCTTCTTATGCAAATATAATTAGTAAAAAGAGGACGAAAGATACTCCATCAGTTGCTACTTTTATCACTTCATAGCAGGCTAGTGTATAGAAAATAAAAAGAAAAAGCGACCCAACTTTTTCATAATTATTACATATTGCTTAAAAATTAATAAAATTTTGAAGTGTAGGTTGGAATTCGGCATTTGTGGATCTATGTATGCTTTTAATATGGATAGATTACATTATTAAAAGTGACATTTGGAATTTTTTTTACCTTACCGATTTTTTTTAACACGAATATCTTAAATTCGTATCGTATTGATGTTAGAATTAATTGAAGTGGGAGCCATTTTAAATTTATGCGGGCTTTTCCAAATATCTATTTATGCGAATAGAAAATATTAATTAATTGTTTATCTTAAGTTCAAATCCTTAATGCTATTTTATTAATCTTTATTGAAATAAATACTTTAATTACTTTGATTAAATTGACAGCCATTTTTATTAATTTTGATACCGGACTAATATTTAAAGTGTATACGGATCCACAGATATCGATTTTGAAATTAATCGGTAAGATAACAAATGAAATAAAAATGGCGATCATTTTAATTAATTCTGACACCGGATTCATACTTAAAGCATATAGGGATCTTCAGATTTTTATTTTGGTTACAATGTTAAAGATCCTTTGGATAAAATACAGTCGAATTTTAAATCTTCTTTTAGAAGCCATTTGAGGTTGATGTGGATGAATAGATTAATAATTCAAGTAACTGTGTCATAATGTATTTTAATGTAATAAGAATAACATCTGTATAATATTCAATAATATGTATATATGTACAAATTTACATAAATCTTATTTTTATTATGGAAGAAAATAGTATAAAATATAAATATTAATTAAAAGTAAATCAATTCATAATGAAAAAAAATCACCTTATTTCGCAAATTCTATTAATTTAGTTTTACAATATTTTAGCATAATAGGCCGCATATAAATAGCAATCAAATGTATAAATTTTCGAGAAAAATATTCACTACAATAGAAGTAATGTACATATATTGAAAATGAGATGAAAGAAAACTTCCAAAGCCGTAAAACTATCTTTAAAAAAAAAAATTCATTGATTTACTGTAGACTTTAGACATGACATTTTCTGTAATCTGTGATTTGTACAGGTAATGACGTCGCTTCTTATTTGTACGTATATGTGATTTGAAATATTTCCATCAATTTCAATCTACTCCTTCCGTGATCATCTTAATTCGTTTATGTAAGTAAACTTAAATTAATATTTTAGTTTAATAATTACTTATTATCAAATTAACTATTTTCTTATAATAGCATTAAATTCTGTATACAGCGCAATGGGTTCATCGAATACTTCGTCGGAGGTAGACGGAAGCTCGAGAACTTTCTTTATACCTAGATGAATTCATTATTGGAACTTGGAGATGGCAGAAGATTTCAGTGGAATTAGTTGAAGAATTGGAAATGGGGTAAAAGGTATAAATCGAAAATCCAATAGAACGAAGAGTAACTGATATATCTAGTCAGTTTATCTTTGTTCTTTTATGTTTTACGTATGACCTTCAGGAACTCTTTGTTAAAATTTAAAATTATTAATTACTCGAGTATCAACAATAAAGAGTTCATGAAGCTTATTTCCTTTTTGAGTAGGTAATCATTTTTGAAGTAGGCCATTTTATGGAGAGCAAATGCTACAAAATGAACCTCCTTTTGTAGTATTTACTCTACGCAAAAAGAAACTCTTAAATCACCTCATTCATGGAGTTTTTTTATGCGTAAATATAATACTGTTTATGATTCAGTGTTTTTGTCCTGTTGATTATTTTTTAATGTAATCGGGCCTAAAGTAAAATTTTAAGAAATGACTGATTATTGTCATGACTAATTCAACTTATAAGATTTAATAGAATGGTTTATGTAATATTGAGAAGTTCCTGTTCCATAAAAGAACAAGGTATATTCTCATCGTTTTTAAGTAATATTTATTCTTATATCCTCTACTGGTTTCCTAGTAAAATTTTATTAACTTTGCCTAAGAGCCTAATTAATTAATGGGCATCCATCATTTACATAAGATGCTCGAATATTTCTGATGTAGGCCAGTTAATATAGATAGAATAAGTCTAATATTTACGTGAAGATTTTTCCTTCGAGTTTTTATGATACTAGTATACGTTGCTGATCATCAATGATATCACAAACTTAAAAATGGGTTTACCAAAACTCCCTCAGATATGCAGTTTTTAGATTGAACTTGAACAGCTAATGTAATATCTGTTCTATATCAATAATATGAAAAGTGGATTAGGCCTACTGGGGAGACCACTATAAAAAAAACGCACCAAGTGTTCTACCTCTAGGTGGTGTGGAAATGAACACATTAAAAAAATTTTTTTTTAACAATAAATGATTTATTGAATATTTATATCTAAGTGTTTTATTTCATTACACAATTCTTTGAAGTCATTTATTTTGCACTTTTCTAGTTCACATTCTAGGTCTTCCTTCTGAAGTCTATCATAATCTTCAGCATCTATAAAATTTTTATAAAGTACATTAGTAAAATTCAATACAGGCCAGTGGTAACTCTAATTTGGTAATTCTAAGAACAAATTTGAACATAAAATTTGAATTTTAAAATTCATGATTAATGATTGGTTTGCCCTTTGCAAGGTACACAGTAATCTACATCAGAGGTTTCATATACAGCACTGGGTTAAGTAGAAACCCTTGATATATAAAGGGCTGAGAATATAGCCAATTATTATGATACTCAGATAAAAAGAATTTAAATTGTGATTGTTTGTTATCTTTTATCATGATTTTGTTCACGTTACTGTATTTCCATATAGTGTGTATACTAAATTTTGAAGTGATTGGTTAATCTGTTAAGGCACTAAAAAGTAACCAATTCACTTTTACATTTAGCACAGTATAAACAACTGCTTTTCATATGGTTGTTATATGAAAGGGTCAACACAGGGTAACTTTTGAAGGTTAGCAGGGGTGGGAAGGCATCGAGCTGCCATACATTCATTTGGTAAATGCCAAGGTTTACTGCATGCTTACATACCTTTAAATTTTATTATATAACTAATTTCTTATTTTGGACATTTTTGGTCAATCTAGTTTTTTTTTGTGTATGAAGTGTAATTTGAGTTTGCTGATCTAAAAAATTATGATATTAATTTTGACAAAAAAGATGGTGAATGTCAGTATTTTAATTTTATAGGTTTGAGTAATAATAGTATTTTTAATAATAATAGTATAAATGTGAAAGTAATTTGTTACCTTATAGTGACTTAACTAATCACTATAAAATTTGGTATACACATACTATATGGGTGAAGAAGAAAATAGGCTTTTTTCATCTTGGTCAGTAAACATATCCCGGTCATGTAGACAGTCACAGGTAATAGTTAATACATTATAAATATACTTACTATATATGGTAAACCATCCACTTATTTCACAAGCTGCAATATTAAGTGAATTTAACTGTTTTACAGCACTGCTCTTTCTAGGCCATATGAATATTCGTAATATATCTTTGCTATCATGGGATCCTGGTATTATTGTTTGTCCTCTTGTCATAAATATATTATGTGCAATAGATTTTTTCAAAAAATATTCTAGTAGTTTGTAAATTTCATTTGTTATTTTTGTAGCAGAATCTTGATCTGGTATTTCAAAACAAAACCCAGGAATTGGATAGTCATTGAAATAATAAATATGATTAATCAAATGAATACATTTCTAAAAGGAAAAAAATATTATTTGAATATTTTGTTATAATGACAATAGTAGGTAAAACATGTAATTATGTATGTACTAGTAGTACATACATAATTGGAAATTAATTTCTACAATAGATAAATTTGTTAAAATAGAATGCTAGAGTAAAGAGAGGTAAGACCCTTGTTTTATGAGTTTGTATGGAAAAGTATGTCAAAAAAAAAGATTTGCTTTTTTAAATGTAAGCTATTAAAATTCTAACTAAGCAGGAGGTATATTTTTCTTCCTTGATTACTAATGAACACCTATTGGGTTATTAAGGACTACTTACTACAGACTCCACTGGAAGATGATGTTCCTCCAGAAACAAGTGGTAGTGGAGATGATTGACAGAAGCTAATGCACATAAGCTGTTGAATGCAATCCGGAGATCACTGCAAAGAATAAGGTTAAATAAAGTAATGAAAGCCTTTCATAGACCCTTATTTATTCAACAGAATAGGTACTTCTGTGTCTTTTCCATTTATTTAATTGCTGCATTGAATAAATATTAGTTCTATATTTTATTCACTATGTAGTCCCTCATAGTGAATAAAATACAGAACTAATATTTATGATATTCTAAATTTACTTGTTAGAAACATTTTAATTATTTTTATACCACACTAATGGCAACCAAGCATACAGCTTGAATTAATGTATACATATGTATACAAGAATATAGCCCGAATTAATATATACATATGTATACACAAAGAAACATTTTACTAGAAACATGGTTAAATTTACTTGCATACACTCACCGATCCTGTGCAATGAAGTATATTTCAATAGCCAACTGCAGACTTTGTAATGTAACAATTTGTGGTAAACATTTATTAATTGAAGGACATAATAAAGTGTGGTAATGAGATAGTGGACTCACATTCACCAACAAAGCATGCTTATCAGATTCTAAAAATTTTAAAAGGAAAATTTTTGTTTTAATTATTTAATAACCACTAAAACTAATTGTTACATAAACATTAATTTAAAAACATATATTTCTTACCATCAGTTATGTAAAAAATTATTTCCTTTGGGGAAACTTTGGTAAAATTGAATTCATTTCTGTTAAATGGCTGACATATACTTTCAATTTGTTCTGGCATTCTCCTTTTACAACCACGGTCTGGATTCAACTAAATGACAATAAAAATGCGAGAACCCATTTTAATTCTTTAAGGAGATTTTAACAGAAATAAACATACTATCATAATTATAATTAAAAAAATCAACATACCTGTACTAGATATTTTGAGTCTATTAGTTTTTTCTGTAAATTGTTTATTTTGTATCTAAATACACCAGTTTCATTGTGTAGATGATCCCATTTTTGTTTCAAAGTTGGTATGAATTTATTTGTATTGTTAATATCGACAAAATCACTTAATTTATGCATTATATATTAAAAACAAAGGCTGTATTACGGAGCAAGTCACAGATTAGAGAGAATATGTTTAAAGATTAGAAAATCTTAAACAGGTACTTATATGCGAATTAAAAAAGGGTAGGTATTTACTACAACAAAAATGTGAAACTAAGTAAATACTATAATAATATAGGCAATTTAATTCTAGAGCGATTATAAATTACTTCATAATATAACATAGATAATGGATCTTTCTGTTTAGATATCTAAGTAACATAATTTCATTAAATTTAGAGGATGCATCTGTGCCCTGCCATATGAGCAGAAAAAGATTTTAATTAAAATTTTTTTGTCACTTGAACAGAGTTGCCAGATAAGAATTTCGATTTTTGACTGTAATGCTATAAATACATCAATAAAAAAGGCATTTCGACACGATCTTTTTTCCTAGACACGAACATATCCAGAGCAGACTTAAAGAGAATCTTCTATCTCTATGAACATATAATTATTTATCTATATATGTAGGTATATTGTATGTATATGTGTATGTATGTGCATAGATGTAGGTATATATTTATGTATATGTATATATGTATTTGTACGATAAAATATAATGTAATTCATTTAATTTTGGCTGTTTTAAAATTGTACACTGCTGTATCCGCTGACATTGATGCTCCTTTCCACTTTGGGTTTGCTGGAAGAAAACTCTATCAGAGTTAAGCTCGCCTTTGTACTTTTGTTTACCTCTGTCATATTTTTATAACTAATGTGTACAATAAAGTATTAAAATAAATAAATAAGTATCCTAGTTAACCTGATGTGTTAAGAACTGGGTTAGGTTAACATATTGTATAATCTGCTATTTCAATCACGTAGTGAATCAAACAGTGCACTTAAAAATAAAATATTTTATTAGTACAATATGTTGCCCTGCAATTGCAAAATTGTTATAATTAAAGGAAAATAATGTATACAGTAATGTATATGGTCTAATGTAAATGTATATGGTGACTATAAATGTTGATAGGAAACTGTTAAGAATTTGTAACTATAGGTGCTTTCATAAATTTTAAATGATTTGGTTGGGTTTTAATGAGATCTCAATTTTTGTCGTAGAAGAAAATAAATAAATAATATAAATTTATATTAAGAAGTATTTAGTAGCATTCTAATAAAAATTATGTTATGTTATTAGGATTTTGAGGATTATTTTCATTATATAGTAGTAATATATCCATTATTTTCTGTGACACCATGGCTGCATCATATGAGTTCATCTCGGATAATTTCTTAGTTACTATACGCCCTACATGGCCATGTTTTGTATTATCCAATCCAAATGCATCATTTTGTACACCTTTGAATACTTTTATTAAATTATCTATTATGCTTTTACATTTTATATTTTGGTTGTTACTGATATCCTGATAGTCATCACTACTCCAGTCTTCTTTTTGTTCTACTGGAATATCCTAAAAAAGTATAAAAAATATATATGTATATAAAACACATACTTAAATGTAAATTCTATAAAACATTACATACTCTAAATTCTCATGTTTATTATATAAGTTACTTTTCTAGATTTTTATAAACAGTGATGAGTAAAGTATACAGTTGATTTTTAAGAAAACTGGGAAACTACTTTTCAATAAAAGTACTATATAGTAGTATAGCAAATGAAGAATCTTTAATAATTAAGAATAAAAACCACATCCATACATTAATGTTGCTTACTTCTTGTTCTTCAATTTCTTCAGAATTTAGTTCCATAGCTGCTGAATCATTTTTCAATCTTTTGTTAACCTTTGTTAGAAATTGACATGCTTCCCATAGGTGCCAATTGACTGTGTATTCCTGAAGAAATAAGACAGAAATATTAAACAAGTCTTGATTGATAAAGTATTTACTTATTCAGTTTTAATTAGAGGAAAAACATGATAATAGGTAATGCAAATTGTTATTTGATTTTTTATGACAGTCCTACCAAAATTCCCTAATTTGTAGATACATATTGCTTATGGAATTAACAACATTATTCAGGGCAACTGTGACATTGGTAGACAGTACATAGTCTCCCCTGGAAACCATTATGCTGAATTCTAGGCATATTCCCTTACTGGTGCCCTGCCAGCGTATTCTCGTAGAGTAGGCGGGGTTACCATTCCATTATCATTCATTAAAAAAAACAGGTTAATTATCAGTTTATCTAAATGGTCACATTACTTCCCGTTTCTTATTAATGATAAACCTTGTAATGCAAAAGTTTAAAGATTAAAATGTTATGTTTATACTAGGGATTTAATAGGTAGGAAACCTTAACAATTCTATTTATATTTTTTCATACAATAAAATACTCTAGGTACTTACTTCACCATCGCCTTTTGCACGACTAGCATTCAATTTTCGTAAGTAATTCGCATAGGTAGATCTTATATTTGTCCATCGGTCTTTTACTGCTTGACCGGTAAATTCATTGCCGTATTTACGCGCAAACTCTGCGTATGTTTGGTCTCTGCTTTTTACTGATGTGTATTTAGGGTGTTTAGGATTCCAAATGTTCGGTTTACTTTCTATGAATTTAACTAATTTTAAGTTCATCTTTCTAGTCCAAAACACCTTTTCTTTTGCAAAATCTGATAACATTGTGACGTTTTCACGATTTATTTATTTATATAAGTTAAAAAACCTAAATGAGATACTTGATTGAGTTTTTAACACTTTATTTGTTTTTTGGTTTGTTTTTAATTTTTTTTCTAAGATTTAAAATAAAAACAATTGGAAAAATAATAAACTTTAAAAAAATAATGAGTTATTTAAACGTCAAAGTGACAGACGTACACTGATGTGACGTGTGTGTGTCAGGGTGAGATGACATGTTGTTGAACGCTAATGCATTTAACCTGTGATGCATTCGCACCTATTCGTACATATCAAGAATACTCAAAGATTTCGATGTTCTTACACCGAAATCTTTGAGTATTCTATATCTCTAAGAGAAAACCTATCTGCAACTACTTCTCAATAATTGCTGTTAAATGATGTGAATGTGCCCAATAGAGTAAGCATCCCGTCACCTGTATCAAACAGTGAGAGACGATAGTTGAGGATGAATGTTAGTCTATTATAACGATTTCCACAAGAATTAACCACGATGACCGCGTGGAGGTCGATCTAACAAAGCTTATTAGCAATGAGGACTAACCTCCTCATTAGGGGGGAAAGAGATCGTTGGTAATGTGGCCTAACTGACCTATTGCTAGTAATACACCCTGTCAGGTCGCCCTCCACGCGGTTCCCCCTGGAAACCATCGTGGTTAATTTTAGTGGAATTTGTCACGATGCACTAATTGACCTGCTTTCATTGTCACCTATCATCCCTCACTGGTGCCCCGCCGGTGTATACCGATGGCGGGGTTACCATTCCATTATCACCCATTCAAAAAACCTCCTCATTAGGGGGGAAAGGGATTGTTGGTAATGGCGTCTAATAAGTTCCATTGCTAGCAATGTATTCTTTTAGGTAAACCTTTATGCGGTTCTCCCTGGAAACTATCCTAGTGAATTCATCAAAATTTTGTAATGACTTGAAAGGCAAGATAGCTATTATGGTCTCTGAATAGATTATATTATTAAATATCTAAGTTGAGCCGTAACTCAAAAAAGATGCCGTCAATCGTCGACCGAATTTTTTATGGTTTTTCTTCGTTATGTTTTATTCAAACTGTTGTCATATAGGTTATTATTATTATTTCAATTCTTTATTAAAAGTTAAAGTTTCTTTCTTCAATATAATATATCTCTAATATCTTTAATATATATTAGGTATAGGTATAATAACATAAACAGTACATAAATTTATTTGTGCATTTGTATCAACTTAAACATCTGTGTTTGAACTACATTATAAAATCTATATCTCAGACAACAGTTATAACTAAAATTATAAACTTGTTTGTGCTATAGTACACATTTTTACACGTTATCTCAAAGTTTCGATTAGTCTTTTGCGGTAACCAGGTGAAAAAATGCATTTAACACAGGATGTGCTATTAGATAAAAACAAGTATATTTTTCTTTGCAAATTAAAAAAAATCACGCCCTGTCTATAATAAAAAAAAAGCTATAAAATACATACTCATGAACCCCAAAAACCTTACATTATTTTTGGGCAGCCATATTAAATTACTATTGCTGATAATTATTTATTATATAATTCTTATACCATGATTCACGAATGCTGTCAATTATTCGTAATAAAAGATGAACTTAATATTGTTTAATAAAAAAAAAAGGAAATGAAAAGTTCTTCAGTTTATGACCATAAGAATATTAAGAACTAGGTTTAGATAATATATTCTTATGGTTTTGAATTTAGCTGGATTATACGAGCCCAGTAGTAGTAAACTCATTTAATTGAAAATCTGGTTAAAATATGGTATGATGTAAAACAACCTAATAGGATATCTGGATGAAAAATATCTACCTGTCTATAGGCGTACGATTATTTAAAATAAATAAATAAAAAATAGGTATAGCTATTTCTATTTAAATTATTTCGCTTAAAATGTATTAAAGTATTAAGTAAATGCAGTATTTTTGTGTACTTATATTTGATTATTAAAAATAAAATAAAATACATTCATAACTAAAATACATCATTTCGCGTTGTAATTGCAGTAGTTGCGTTGTATAAAATAGATGAGTAATATAATAATTTGCTACAAAAATGGAATGGCCATTATGTCCGTGAACGTAATGACATCTCCGTGAGTCGCTGCACCGGCTGGATACCACCAAACGGTACTTTATCCACGGTTCGATGTGGATCGCGTTACCCGCGCAGTCGCAATCGCGGCCTTAACCGCCATGGGTCGCTCTCTACGTTCGTTCTCTGCGTATACGCATCCATTTATCACGAAATATTCCCGTCATGCTGCCACCGGATGTCCATTTTCAAAACGCCAGCGTTCGCAAATCGCTCCAACAGCTGAACTCAACGAGGAAGTTTTTGCAAATGCCAAACCCTACTCTGAGGTACCAGGACCGAAGCCCATACCGATATTGGGAAATACGTGGCGAATGGTGCCCATAATTGGACAGTTCGATATATCGGAATTCGCGAAAGTGACAAAATTTTTCTTGGAGAAATATGGAAAGATCGTGCGTCTCGGTGGCCTTATAGGTAGACCTGATCTTTTGTTTGTGTACGATGCAGATGAGATCGAAAGGATGTACAGGAGGGAAGGGCCCACCCCATTTCGGCCGGCAATGCCTTGTTTAGTGAAATACAAATCAGAGGTGCGCAAGGATTTCTTCGGCGAGTTGCCAGGTGTCGTCGGTGTGTAAGTATTATATTTAAATAATTTTATATTGACATTTAAATTTAATTTATTGAAAAAGTAAAAATTAATAATGAAAAGGTAATGGTGGCTCTATATTTTAAATATTTTCATCTTATTTATTTTCTTCATTTATATAATACCAGATACCAGACTGTTTAGTTATTAAATTGTTACAATAGCGAATTTTAATATCTAAATGTAAATTTATATAGAATTAAGCACACAGTGCTAAATTTATAGAAATTCGTTTATCCGCTGAGTAACAAGTATTGATATCTTAGCACAAACACACTTTCACATTTACAAAACTTAGTGCAAAATATATATTATTTTATATTTGTATTTTAACATTATAAATCTTTGGTTGTATGTATGTATCTTTGTTAGTTAAATTATCCATGCAATATTAAGTAACTGGCTAATAAAGGTAGAGTCTTAAAACGAAATAATCTTCTTTTAACTGTAAGAAAACCTTTTGAGAAAAAAAAGTATTGAGTTACATGTATTTTGTTGAAAACTCTCGACCAGTTACTGTATCCGGTATTACTAATAATTGAAAGAGTTGTATTCTAAAAACCTAAAAAAATAATTTCCTGAGATAAATATAAAGGCGTATATTTATACTTATATTAAATTCTCGTCTGTCTTCATTAGTATTTAGAGCGGTAACGTTGACGGTTTCACAACTTTCACATTTTTCTTTTGTATCCACTATAATTTGTGTTGCTCAAGAGTTAAGAGATGTGTTCTTTGTCTTGCAACGATTTACCTACTCCGTTATTAAAAGATATATTTATATAATTGTTAATAAATTTTGAACACTAAGAAATAATTGGTTAGGCCAGATAAGAAAAAATTTTGGTGTCACGTTTTATAGGAAAGTAAAAATATGGTATGGACCAAAGTTAATTGGAGAAAAATCCATGATGTAGTTGTTTCGATAAGAGGAAACTTTAAAACTGTAAAGCCTGTTAATCTTACAAAGCACGTATTATATTTTTTTTAATGTTAATGCCAGCCTCTTTTGTATTCATGATATGATTAGCACGCATAGGTAGCCTTCATACTCATATTGATATAATCAAGTGATGTTTAACTCGTTGCTGTTGGGGGGGAAGGGATTGTTAGCAATGGATTTTGACAGCCCCATTGCTAGCAATAGCCCTATTAGGTCGACCTCTACGTGATTCCCCCTGGAAACCATCGTGAACAATTCTTATTAAATTCGTCACGATGGACTAACTGACCTGCTTCATTCTCACCTATCATCCCTCACTGGTGCCCCGCCGGTGTATACCAATAGCGGGTTACCATTCAATTATCACCCTTTAAAAAAAAACTCGTTGCTGTTTTAAGGTTTCTGATACAAGAGATATAACACTTTAGTCCCTAGGTAATAGGTATATGTGGGTAATATGTTGGTAATGTGATGAGCGACATAGGATATGCCACTTTATTAGATATTTGATTTTACTCGCGACTTCGTCTGCATGGCCGAGATATGTTTAGAGATAAAAAGTAGCCTATATCTTTCTCTATCACATATAAGTACGTATATTGGTATACACGTATTATACCAATGTATATTTTATAGTGATTGGTTAAGGAGTTATAAGGTAACAAACAAACAAACAAACTTATTTTCTAATTTATAATATTAGTAAGGATGATATACATATTCACATCAACATATTCGAAGGTAGATCTTGCCTTGTAATAAATGTCTTTAATAAGATAAATAATAAGATGTTTCACAGATAGTTACTTTATATTTTGTTTTTAATATAAGGAATTATCTAAAGTAGATTTTGCTTTGCAACAAGCAATTTCTTGCTCCGTAAAGAAAAACGACAGCTTCAATCATCATTAAATTAAGAAAATTAATACATGACTAATATTCGAAGTAAAAATCTGTCGATTATAAAAATAATTATCAAAGTCGGGTAAAAAACAGCAATCTAATCGCGTGTTTTAGGCAGGTACAAAAAATCAGATGAATTAAGAATCCCTTGCGTTTCTATTTCGCTTAGAAACTCATACACGTGGACCTTGTATGTCATGTTTGTCGATACAATATATTTAGATGTCACTAACTGGATTCTAACTTGACAACAATGTCAATTTGCAGTTTGGTGTTACATACATACATGTTAACACTTGCACTTGAAAGCAAGGTTAATTCACCTTGAACAATATTATATAATATTTATACTTTATGCAAACCAAAGTGTAAGGACAGTTTTGATATCTGCTATTTGAAGGGCATTTTATTTTTTTTTTTTGTTTTTGATGATCTAAAATATAAGATAATAAAAGTCGCCAGTACGTCAGCAATAGTAATAATACCGGATCCAGTTTTATACGTTAAATTAATTGAAATTAAAAATATCAATTAGATAATTGAGGGTAAAGAAATATAGTATTTATAGAATTTGAAACGTAGAAAGTAGTTGGTATAATTTAAGATTTTGCACTATAAAAAGAAATGGCAACTTTAATTGCCATAAAATTTATTTGGGATTAACACGAAAATAAACTTTATCGATTGGAGTGTGAATTGCCAAAATTGATCCACATTTGATATAGAAATTGAAATATACTTAATACCTATATGCAAGAAAAAAAAACCAGATGTACTGAAAACCTACTTAATTAAGTCACTTAAAAATTAATTTATTCTATAGGTATTAAATAAATTCCAAGTATTTAAATTCTACGTAAATGAAATCGCGTTAGTAATATTGCGAGTATCATTATCATTAGAAAATGGTGATGGTATCTGTCTACCTGCAACTAGTGTTGACAGACCGGTTTGGTCGTTTGGTGTTAAATACCAAAATCCGGTAACTCGGTCGCTGCTTGCCCCAAGCCTAGCCAATCCCATAAGCGTTGATAACTAACAGGCAACGGAATACGATATTCTAAGCATTTATTTCATTATACATACATACATACACAATTTTATGGTAAACGCATAAGTAAATCCTTTATGACATTAACTATATGTACTATCTTTAATATATGGATTTATGAAAGTAAGACAATAAAACTGATACATTAATAATTTAACATTTTATTTAAGTTTCAGTAATAGAGTACTTATTTTATATTGTCCGTGGTGATGACCCACTCACCTGATGTAAATCTGTGTCCTATGGAATTTTGTCTATTGACATGAACATGATGCAAATTTACATCAGATAGGTCATCAACCGTCTTATCATTCCAAGTTGCGTATAAAAATATATTAATTTCAACCAAGTAATATTAATGCACATATCTTTCTTTTGTGTATACATATGTTTTTTTTTTGTTGGGTGAAAATGGTATGGTAACCCCGCCTGTGCTAACGGGATACGCTGGCGGAGCACCAGTGAAGGGCGATAGATGAGAATGAAAATAGGCCAGTTAGCCCATCATGATGAATTCATCAGGAATTAACCATGATAGTTTCCAGGGAGAACCGCGATGAGGTCGACCCGGTTGGGTATATTGCTAGCAATGGGATTCTCAGTCTCCATTACTAACAATACCTTTCCCTCCTGTATACATATGTTGCTTTCATTACTAAAATTTTGTTCTTTACAATACAAATATTTTATACCTCCTTCTAAAGAAATGGACAATGTTTTAACGGTTAATAACAATTTAATAAAAAAAAAGTATTTTAAATATTACAGTTTTTTCATTTTGTACTAAATACAAAAAAAAAAAAACTTTATTATGATAAAAACAATCTTTTATAAGTTGTACCTAAGCATATACGCTAATTTCGAAGTTGATGACTCTTCTCCCATACATAATTCATGTTTATATAGATGAAATTTATTTAAATATCAAGTAGTCGTTAAGAACCAATGTGGTTTTTCTGTATTATGTTTCATTATAATAAAATATTATAATTATATGGCCTCCGTACATTAAGCGTTTCGGATTGTCAACTGACGCTTGCAAACCTCGAGATCACTAGTCCATACCCACTATTATAAACTGAATTACGAATTTTTAGGAAACAATCCAGAGTTTTAAGGATCTAACAACTTCATTACTAGTAATATCAGGTTGACTTCTATGCTCTTTTATTGTCATCTATCATCCATTGCTGGTATTTCGCCAATGTATACCTATAGCGCAGGCGGGAGTTTTTTTTTTATGAATGACAATGGAATGGTAACCTCACCCGCATTGTCGGCGTACGTTCGCAGGGCACAGTGATAGATGAGGATTAAGGCAAGTGAGTTAGCCCATAATGACGAATTCCACAAGAATGAACCACGTTGGTTTCTGGGAGGCAAACGTATGGACGATGATCTCATAGGGTAGGTCGCTAGCAATGGGATTGTTCATGACAGAGTCCATAACTAACAATTCCTTCTCTTCGCGCAGTCGGGGTTACCATTCCATTTTTATTCATAAAAAAACCCAGAATCTTTATTTACTAACGCTGTGTGATTAAAATATTAAACAAACAGGCAAACTCTATTTAAGTGATATTTGAATATGTTCGTCCGGAGCTTACGTTTTGTGTACATTGCTTCTTAATATAGTTTGTATAACTTAAACAGGAAAGTAAATATCCCATGTACCCACTAACGTTCTATAGTACACCTACACACACGAGTCTAGTATTGGTTGTTGATACTTGACCCACATGGGAAGTAGTGCGAAGCGAAAGCCGTGTAAATGACGTGATGACTGCGGTAATACTAATATTAAGGTAACAATACCGTACTATTACATTACATTATTATATTATAGAATGGGCCTCCCTTTCATTACCCGTGAGTGTTGAAAGAGACGACTAAGGGAACGTAATGGTCTTTAAGAAGTAAAATGTTCTTCTTGAAACATCACCAAAGTCTAATTGCGGCTGTCAACCCGCCTGCCAAGCGTGGCAACTACTAGCAAAACAGTTTTTTCTTTATGTTAGTTCTTTTTTAAAGATCTCTCAACAAATAGATACGAACATTTGTCGTCAGTTATCATGCAATCTGTAGATT